ATAAGAATCTGGCTTACATTGGGGATGCTACGAGATTGTCTTCCAAACAGGCTAGATGGTCACTTTTCCTTTCACGTTTTAATTTTTTTTATTACTTACAGACCAGTCACTAAGAATAATAAGGCCGATGCTCTGTCTAGACAGTATGATACTGATGAGTTTCCAGACCAAAAGACATCTCCTATTATACCACCTGAGTGTCTTATAGCTACGACAGTTTCGGAATTGTCTTTTCTGCTCCTTTGTGCCATAATAGCAGATCAAACTCAGGCAACCAGCAGAGAAGCCATCTAATAAACTGCTTGTCTCACCATCACAGATAGCTGAGATATTCAGGTTATACCATGATAACGTAACAGCTGGACATCCTGGTATACACAAAACCCTTTCTGCCATTACTAGAAAGTTTTGGTGGCCGTCACTTAGAGGTGATGTCAAGGATTTTATGGGAGCATGTAGAATTTGTGCTGTCCAAGGTTCCCCACAAATCACCTCCTGGGTTGTTACAGCCACTTCCAATACCAGACTCTCCATGGACCCACCTGGCCATGGATTTCATTGTTGATCTCCTGAGTTCTAATGGGTATAACACTATCCTTATGGTAGTGGACCGTTTCTCCAAGATGGCACATTTTATACCTCTCAAAAAACTGCCATCATCGCAGGATCTTGTCCAAGTATTCTTAAATGAAATCTTTAGGCTATATGGGATACCGAAAAACATAGTCTCTGACAGAGGTACCCAATTTATTTCCAGATTTTGGCGTGCTTTCTGCAAACAGGTGAGTATAGAACGTTCTTTTTCCTCCTCGTATCCCCCTCAGACCAATGGGGCGACGGAGAGAGCCAATTAAGCCTTAGAGTCTGATTTACGTTGCTTTATTGATGCCAGTCAGACTAACTGGTCAGAACTCCTGCTCATGGCTGAATTTGCTAGAAACAATGCAACCCACGAGTCCTCTACTCTCAGTCCTTTTTTTGATAAATAATGGTTATCACCCCACTGTATTACCTTTTGACCTCTATCACTTACACGAAGCTTTACAATCGGCCTCCAGACATACTAAAGTTCAGGCAGACAAGCGGCGTGGTGCCAATCCTGTCTATCAAGTTGGGGACAGGGTCTGGCTTTCCACGTGTCATCTCAAATTGAAAGTACCTTCCAAGAAACTGACTCCTTGCTTTATAGGTCCTTTCCGAAACCTTTGGCGCATTAATCCTGTTTCATACTCCCTTGTCCTTCCTGCACTTTTGTGGATTTCAAACTCATTCCATGTGTCTTTATTGAACCGCTTACTTGCAACCTGTACACCAAGCAGTTTGTACCTCCTCCTCCTCTGGTTGTTGGAGGCCAGGAGGAATTCGAGGTCCGTGCCATACTGGATTCCAGGGTGTCTAGGGGTGTGTTGTCTTATTTGGTGGATTGGAAAGGTTATGGACCTGAGGAATGCTCTTGGATTGCTGCTGATAGAGTCCACGCTCCTTGTCTTGGCCGGTCATTCCACAACGGGTTTCCTAACAAGCCTGCTCCTTCCCGCCTGGTGGACGGTTTTCGAGTAGGGGGTAATGTCACGGCCCCAGGCACGCGGCTGCACGTGGTCTCACCCAATCGGTGCAACCACATAGACAGTTTTAAGAGCTTACCTGTGCAGCAGTGAGTCACTACCATTTGTAGCTCTACCTCCAAAGGTCACGCGAACGTGCGTGTGACGTCACAACGTTGACGTAACACGCACGTTCTCGGGTCAGAGGCCAAGCTCTGACCAATCACAGCCCAAGGAGAGATATTTAAACCCTTGAATTTCCCTAGTTCATTGTCCTGTCGTGGTTACAGTTCCTGGTTCCCAAGAGTGCGTTTTCTTGTCATTGTCATTTTCATTGTTATTTTCATTTTCTTGTCATTTTCTTGTTATTGATATTCCCGGTATTATGACTTTGTCTATTCCTGACTATTCTGATCTCTTGTTTCCCTGACTGGCCTTCTTATCGATCTTGTGTATTTCTGGCTTCCTTGACCTCGGCTTTCCCTTGTACATTCTCTCTCTGTCTTTCAACGTATTAATCCGGCCATTCTATGAAGCGGTTTACGTTCTGTCTATTTTTCTATTCTATGTAGATGTTACATAGTTTTGCATGTTGGATCACATTAGTGTCAGGTCCCCTGCCCCTATGCCACTCTCGTCGACCTTGCTTACCTCATCACAGCGAGCGGCGTCATCTGGTCCCTGTCTCCAGACTGGCAGTGTGTCTGATGCTGCACGCTCCAGAGCAGCTTCCTTATATGTGTGCTGCACCCCGTCATGTGACCCGGCACACAGTGATGACCTCAGAGACCACAAGCGAAGGAAGAAACTTATATACCACATGGTTGTGGTTGACACTAATTGGTGGTTAGCCGATCAGACACACCCTGTGTGTATATAAGCTAACCCCTCCCTTGCCTCAGTGCCCTGTTATGGTCTTTGGCTTACCACTGAGCGTTGGACTTGTTATTTGGATTTCCTGGTTACTGATATTTGGCTTTGTCTCTCGTTATTCTGTCTCTCTGTTTCCCTTGATCTCGACTCGTGTTTTGACTATCCTTTTTTGCATAATCTGACCATTCTAAGGATCGGTATTGCAATTCTCTCTACTCTGTACTGTCTGCGTGTTAGGGTTCCCTAGTGAACGTTACAATTAGTATCCGTGACAGTCTGTCTCTTTTGCCCCTTCCACAGCCCCTCTGTGCTTTTTTTTTGTTTGGTGGCAAATTTCAATTTTTCTTTAGTCATAGTCTTTTGACTAAAAAGCCATTATAGTTTAAATCATATTTTAGTCACGTGAATAGTTTTAGTCTAGTCAACTAAATCTCAAACATTTTAGTCGACTAAAATTTGAATAAAATTGTTAGGCAACAAAATTAACACTGTCAGATACCCACTATGATTGTACGTTCTCAGCACACACATACAAATGTTCCCTGGTTTCCGATATTGGGGGGCACAAGGTAAATGTCCACAAAAAGCATGAGCATCATTAAAAAAAGCTTGTGCTGCCCTCAGGGCACTAGGACCTATTCATAACACATGTTGATCATTATTGGTGTCAATGAAGTTAGGAGTCAAAGTTTGCATCACTTAAAAATGCACATATCTCCGTTAATGTGCCATCACTTAGGCATGCGCAGTTCTGAGGCACAGATATGTCATTTCACACCTTGCAACTCCAGCAGCCTCAATATGTAAAATCCATATATGGAAAGGGCAGTGTGACTCACTGAAGAGATAACCTCTGAGTTTTCTATCCAACCTTGTGCTGAATTGGAGAATATTTCCAGATCAGCCTTTTGCCTCCATTTCTCCATTTGGATTTTATGGCAAAAGTAACCTCGCCACTAGTTTTTGGAGGGGCCTGTTTACCAGCCTCCTACCCTGTGACTATGGCCCCTGCAATAGACCTGGCTAAAATACTTTAAACATGCTCTCTGTGCAGTTGAGACTATATGATTCATTTCCCGAACAGCCTCAAAAACCGGAGACAACCCTGGAGCTTGTTAAGCTTAATTGATACATTGTTGCAATTTCCACCAAAGTGGTCTAAGTGTTCGTCTTGTGGCCGCAATTCATATGGACGATCACGAGGTGGTGGCCATCTTGTTCGCATGGACCAAAACTGCGAATAGACTTCAGGGGGACTTAGCTGCGAATGCCCTGGAACTATTTTCGTCATTAAAACTTTGCAGTTCCCGGTCGGTCCTCCAGCAGCACGTAGCCGAGATTCTATGGAACTATTTTCGGCTATGGGGCCATGCCTGTGGTCGGTCAAATAAATAAATGACTTCCAGAAAATTCCTGAACCCCTAAACTGATCTGGGTGATTTTTGGATATGTTGGTCACCCAGATCAGGGCTATCAGGGGATGTAACATTTGTGGGGTTTTATGTACTTTTAGGGTACTTTGGGGGTGGTTTTTAAAATGTGTGTTTTTTCTGTGCTTGGAGATGATTGGATTAGAATTATCTCCCAGGCAGAGGGGAGGGATTTTGTGCTGTGTGGGGGAGTGTCGTGCCTTGTAACCTTATTGTTATTGGTCTGTAAAGTTGCTAATCAGTCCCCCACAAGGTTCCTGTGGGCGTACCCCTTGCATGGGGATTGTCATATATGGCCAAGTGTGGATCCCATTAAGCTGAGATTCGTTTACCCCTTCATGAAGTCTTGGCTCATGTTTGGGGGACTGGAGAACTACATTCACTCTGGTGCTTGCTATATCACAATACTCCCCTGAGTATAATCACTAGCTCTTATAAGAGCTGTTCCTGCTATGCTCTCTGGACTAGGAGAGGTCTACCCACTAGAAGCTGGGTCCTGGTCTTGGCTCCAGGGTGGGTGGAGGACCCCGAGACCCCAACCAAGCTGTGCATGTTCGTGGGGTCTATGGTGGTTTATGGTGTTCCAGTACAGTGCTTATGGTGCTCGCAAATACTAGGAAGCAGCGATTGACGGAGGTACTCGGTCGGGGTGCCAGGCGGTCCGTCACAGATTTACTGCATGTAAGCTCATTGAGCAGGGCCTCAACCCCCTCTGTTCCTGCGTCCAACTCATCTTATTACAATTAAGTGTTTGTTCATCCACCCATTGTACAGCACTGTAGAATTCGTTGGCGCTTTATAAAATAATAATAATAATGTGACAATTACAGGTTTAGTGATTGAATCTGCCAGTCAATACTGTCAATAACGCACTACTGTGTGGTGGTGGGTAATTTACTTTGCAGTGTATACTCTGTCTGTGCCAATACAGTCAAACATAAAGTTTTTTTTTTTTTGACAACAGAATTAATTTGTGCAAAAAAATCTCATGTGTGGCACTAGTTTTCTTTAACTGCTACACATCACAAGTGCAATGGCTGTGTATCAGCTCCTGCAGTACCAATAAAATGTTTTTTGACCCTTGTCCTAAAGGAGTTAAATGTACGCCTCTCATGTTAAAGCTGTCTCAGTGAAGGCCTCCCCCTAGCCCTAGGCCCCGCCTGCTCTATCCTGCTCAGTGTATTGGAGGCTTCCTGCATTCACTGTTCGGGAACATGCTGGCTAGGTTGACCTGTGTTCAGGGATGGCTGCAGTGCTCAGGGCCAAGCCTGGGGATTTGGTCCCAGCAGATATGCAGGTAAGATAGGGTGAATGCCATCTTTATTTATGGCTAGAGAACCGAAGACATGGAACCTGTTTATTTCTCTATAAATTGCACTGCAGAGTAAACAACATTTATTAACAGTTGATGGAAAACTGTAGACACCCACAGTGTTCTCTAAGGCTGAGGGTTATCTTCCTAATATTGTGAAACCAGGCTTTATATTGTGATCTATTTATAAAACCGTATTAACCTGCAGATTAAAACCCTTATAGGCAGACAGTGAGTGCTCTGGTATCTGTATACTGTACATGTTTTCGAACTGGCTAAGTATTGTGCTTTGATTCTAATAGCCTTTAGATTCTAACAGTTTTGTATCTATTGTAGATTCATAGTTCTAATCCTATACCCCATGCAGCTATATTTTGCTAGACATTGTAATTAGCTGACAAGTTGATTATAATTTAGTTTATTATTCAGCCTGCCTAATGTTTTGGGTGATGCTTTATTTTTCCAGTCAATCAATTTCCAGTTATCTGTGAGGAATAGGTTATATTGGCTTCTGAAAAATTTAATGTTTCTGATGTCTTGGGGAATTGCAAGCACATCAAGTGTTTGCAGTAGGCCTGAATGCAAGGTTGTGTACCAAAAATACTAGTCAACATTGCAATGTGGAAATCCCTAAGTACACCCAGGTTGCTGCAAAGTGTCACATACACTCAGAACTAGTAAGCTCAGTTCACAGGTTTTCAATTTGAAGGCAGAGGTAAAGAAGGATAAAGGTCGTGTTTGTTTCACAACCAGCAATATTAACCATTACTTATATTGGTTTTCAAAGGTATTGCTTTACCTAAAGGGGGAGGTGTTGGGCTGCACAGTATATCACATTTATTTGGTTTATGCCAGAGGTTGGGACTTTAAATTGGTAGGTTTTATGTAGGGCAATAAAAATGGTGAAATAGAAAATTACCTAAGAAACATTTAAAAAATAAAATATTAGCTAGATGTACGTATTGTGCTAGACTATATACATTTCATTTTATTCCACTTTCTTTAAGGACACATGATGGAAATATTCTGTCATTATTCCCTTTTATTCCAGAAGTTGTGTCCTTAAGGGGTTAATGAGATTCTACCTGCATGCTGACAGCACAGATGTAACAAAAATACAAATATGGTGTCCAAGATAATTTGCAGATTTCGCCACCAGGCGCTAATTGACATGACAATATTCCCAAATAACTGGTACTCAGGAGCACCAATGCCTGTAATGTTGGAGTCAGTTTGGCGTGAACCACTTTCCCATCCAATTGCTATGGCAGTGTTTTATAATGGTAAACCGCAAGGATTTCTAAGAAAACTCAAATATTAAAGGGACAGTATAGTCACCAAAACAACTTTAGCTTAATGAAACAGTTTTTTTAATCTATAGATCATGCCCCTGCAGTCTTGCCAATTATCTGCCATTTGTGTTAACTCACTTTGTTTATGCAGCCCTAGTCACACCTTCCTGCATGTGACTTACACAGCCCTCCTAAACACTTCCTGTAAAGAGTCATCTAATGTTTACACTTCCCTTATTGCCAGTTCTGTTTAATTTAGAATTCATTATCTCCTGCTCTGGTAATGGCATGCTAGACCCTGCAGGAACCTCCTGTCTGTGATTAAAGTTCAAGCTACAGAGCAGGACATAACTTACCTTTTGAACACCTGATTGAAAATGAAACCATTTTGTTTTCATGCAGGCTGTGTCAGTCACAGCCAGTTTAGGTGTAGGTAGTGCTGTATAAATAAATAAACCTCCTGAATGGCATATTGAGGCATGATCTTTGCACAAAAACTGCTTCATTAAGCTAAAGTTGTCCTGGTGTCTATACCATGGCCCTGTAGCCTTTTTGCTGTAAACACTGCCTTTTCAAAGAAACATTACAGCCTGGGGACGCCTCCAGTGGCCACTCCTTAGCACTGGAGGTGCTTCCTGGGGCAGTGCTGCACGGAGACTCTGAACTTTCCCCATAGAGATGCACTGATTCAGTGCATCGCTATAAGGAAAAGCTGATTTGCCAGTGTTTGGCTCTGCCACCCCCTTTGCCGATCTCACCCAATCCAACGCTTTTCCTATGGCCAGTGCCAGTGGACTAAATAAGGTATTAATTTTTTATTATTTTTCCCTTACCTTTTTAAGGGAGGTGGGGCAAGCTCCCTAAATGGTGGTTTTGACACTATAGAGTCATGAATACATATTTGTTTTCCTGGTTCTATAGTGTTCTTTTAATTTAAAGGTCACCCGGTGCTTTTAATGATGACACTGAACATGTTAACACTTTGTGTACATCTATAGTCATACATCAATCAGAAAATATCACTTTGATTTTATATGCTGTGTTTTGGTTTTACTGTACATTTCGTTTAATGCTGATGAATTTACTTCAATCAAAATAATCCTTTAGGAGTTATTCAGATTCCAGAGACAGCAGTTGGATTAGATCTTTGTTTGTGAGAAAAGTGGATCCTCGCAAAGATGCACACTCCACTCTGCTGTCCAAGAGAGAGACCAGTGGTCTTTATAAAATGCAGTGTAAGTACATGTTACTAGGGTACAGGTAAAGTACTACCTTTTTTTTTGTGACAAGTTAATTACTTGAGAGAGTGTGTGTGTGTGTTTTGAGAGATAGCTATATATATATATATATATATATATGTATGTATGTCTATTGTTTTCAAGTGTGTCCTGAAAAAAAAGTTGCATTGTTATATAGGGTACAAGATAATATTAAAAATACAATGTAATATTTAAATACATATATACATTTAACACAGAACAGGTAGGAAATAATAATTGACCATAGTTATAGGTGCATTCTGTACAGAGATATGTTGAAAGGGATCTCTTAAAGGATTTTAGTGTGGAGGAAAATTTAATTGTGTCCAGGAGGTTGTTCCATACTTGCGGCCAGGCATTCAAAGAATCTGGAAAATGGCAAGGTTGACACAGTATCCTTATTTCATAGAGAACAATGCAGTGGTAGTTACCTATGATACGAATAAGGAATTTCTTTTAGTTTATTTAAATGAGATCTACCCCAGAGGTCCAGGATGTTGAATCTCTCTTTACACCTTTTAAAAAAGCAATGAGAGAATTGACACAAAATGGTTTGTTGCAGTCATAATACATTATTAATAGCTCATCTTTCAAAGAATGGGGGAATCACAAAAACATGGCCCAAAGAGAGTATGACTTGGAGTGGGATGAAATCGAGGAGGCTGCGGTAAATGTTTTGTTCTTTAGTGTTTTGGTTTCTGTTTGTTTTTTTTGTTTTTTTATATACATTTCATAATTGAATCACTACACTTAACATTATTCAAATGTTTCCTTTGGTGAAACTGAATTTAAAAAGTTATCAACATCACCTGCACAAGGTAGTGAGCACAGACATTTTAAGATTCACGTTTTAGTGATTCATTGTTCATGAGCCTGCAGTTAAAAAAAAATTAGTCTGCACTTGACACTGTGTCCATGTTGAAGTTCATACGGACTCTCCACATAAATGTAATTTGAAAAGAAATAAATGCAAGCACCAACGGAATTATAGGAAAAATATCTTTTTAATTTTGTAAGTTCGTTTAAATTCAGTGTCAAGAAGATTTGAAAATTACAAAATACTATAATTGCCCTAGTTCCATCCACATAACTTTATACACAGCAATACATCCTGTGGAATCAAATGCTCCACTCCAGTTACACTCCAATGAATCTTGTTCTACAGGAGCTAAATAAAGTGTGGGGTGGGGGGGGGTGTATTTATTTATTTTAGTAACTTAGGAAAAAGTAGTCACTAGTAACAAAAGGGTGTGCTCGGTGTTGGACAGTCTGGGGAATTACTCTTTGGACCATTTGCTGCGCTTATGGACTGTACTATGATTTTGTTTTGCATCAGCGCTAGATGGCAATAAATAAATACTTCACAGGAATTAATAATATAAATTGAAGACCAACAAAAGATGCACTGAGTCCTGCATCCTATCCCTGTATGGAAGACTATGTAGTACTGACAACTGGCTGTCAGTATGTCACATGACTCTAATCTCATGTGATCTTGTTAGAAGGGAAAATGAGTTGTATACTGCCTTTGAAAATTCAAAGAGAGCTTATAAAAAATATATAGAGTATTTTTTTTAAATACATTTTATTGAATATTAGGATCTAAATATTGTTTTGTCTGTACATATAAAATATACTGCATGTGTATTGATGCAAGTGTCCTGCATGCTGAGTGTGTGTGTTTTGTGTTTTATTTCTTTTCTCCTGGCATCCCTGCACTAACTCCTCTCTGGTCTCTTTCAGTTCATAATGTGAAACCAGAATGCCTGGACGCTTATAACAAACTGACGTGAGCATAGTTTAAACTCCCCTGTGTTGTGTCTTTATAAGGGGTAGGGTGCTGCTCTGAACCTGTTTTTACTGTTTCTTATCTTTATTTACAAGGAAATCACTGCCATGCTCCAGATTAGGATGAGATACAATTCATTTCCATAAACTCTTGAGCTCTTTCCTGAAGTTCCCTATTGCCCAAACTGGATATTCAAATTTTAGACAAGATCATCGCTTGAAAAGGCTTAATTCACTACAAAAGATTAGAGCGAATAAAGAGTAGGGGTATGTCCTATTTTTGGACTACATTTGCACTAATTAACTGCCAGCCTATTGGAATTGGAGCTCAACACTTGGTAGGAGTGACAAGGTTGAGAATTATGAGACATTTTGTTAGCGGGAAGGCAAAGTCTGGGCACCAGTGCTATGCAAGAAGAAGAAAAAAATCTGTGCGGAAGTTCTTGCAGTGAGAGTGTGCTTGGTGGCATTGCTGATTACTTATTTTGAAGTGTAATTACCAGATTTTACAATTTATGTGACGTAAAATCATGGTGACTATTATGCATATCTACATCTTCCATGTATATACGTGTTTTCAATGTGCAATCAGAGAGCACAAATGTAGTCCCCTTCTGGTTAACACTAGGGATGCACTGAAATGAAAATTCTAGGCTGAAACCGAAAATTCAGGATGCACTTGGCCGAAAATGACTATTTTCCCCAAAAGTTTTTTTGTTTTGTTTTTTTTTCAATAATTTTATTAATATTAGACTTTTTAATGAATTATTTTATAACAAGATAAAAAGCCTTGCTAACAGGTGAAACGTGTTAGTGTTTTATACGCCCTTTTGCTATATTGTTTATTTTATCATTTTTTTTTTATTTATTTTTTTCTTGTAAGCATTTAGACCACTTAGCATGGATTGATGCCCTGTTATTGCTTGTGAATGCATTAATGCATTCTCAGAGCTTTCCTTGTAAAAATAGATGAGGACACACACAATACAGCTGTAATAGGCATCTCATTCACATGAGCGAAAAATAAATAAATGGAAGCTGCTTGACAAATTCAATATAAGCTCCTGGAAGTCTCACATAATTTTGTGCTCGGGTAGATCTCGACTGCATATTTTTGTTTTGTTTTTTTTCTATTCTTTCTCTCATGTGAATGATATTTTGCATATGTGTGCTTTGCACATGATCGAGCAGCATTACATTAACATCCGTGAAGAATTTGCAAGCTTGTGCTTACATGTAATGTCATTAAGCACATGCTCAGTAATACTAATAATAATTAATTACATTGAAAGAATTGAGAGACCAGGGATTTGCATGTTGCAATTTTCCTGTAGCAGCAATGCGGACCAGGTATTAATTATGAGATCTCATTACTGGTTTTAACAGTTGTCACTGGAGGATTTGCCACATAATACATCCACATGTGCTTATAAATAAAAAGGGAAAGCTACAAAAACAAGTGACACTGAAAAAGTATGGTGAAGGGGAAAACAAATAGTTTTGGTTTGATATATCATTTCTAAAAAAAAAAAAAAAAAAAAAAATTTTGGCTAAACCTTCCCATTTGTAAAGTGTGTTTTTTTGTTTTTTTTTAATTGTCTGTTTGGCCTGTAATCATTATTAAAATTGTTAATGGTGGATTTGTAATATGTATGGCTTGCTGAATATTGAGAGCACCTATTCATTTTTTGTGCATGCGAGCAGAGAGGAAGTACTGCCGAAACTGCATCTTGACCCGGACTACCCATGTGATCTAGTGGGTAATTGGAATACGTGGTATGGGGAGCAGGACCAGGCAGGTAAGCTTAAGCATGATGAGAGGGTTTTGGTGTGTGTGTGTATGTATGTATATGTATATATGTGTGTTTATATATTTATATTAAGACATTTTGGTTGCAGTTCACCTGTGGCGTTTCTCTGGGGGTTACCCTGCGCTTATGGACTGTATGAATAAGCTGCGAAACAATAAGGTAAAAAGGTAGTCTCTATATAAACAATATGTGTGCTGAACAAATGTATCCCAATTTCAGTAGGGAATATTCTCCTTTTCCGGAATGTTGTTTAAAATCTTTATATTGTTTGTGTGTGTGTGTGGCTGTGTAATTTCTTTATTTAATTTCATTCTTGCTCATCTGTGTCTGCCTCTGAACTCTACATTGTTTCTAGTTGCACATTGCATTGTCCAAAAAAATGTGACTACTGTCATTGTAAATAGTTAATAAGGATCACTGGCAGCTATATGACATGCATTCTTTTGTATCGATTTTATGATCATTGTGTATATGCTATGCTGAACAATTTCCCTTTTTGAGGTTTGTTTTTAGTGTATAAATTTGTATTGTTCCTGCAGGAATACATAGATTTCCGAAAAGAGCGCAGTCAGATGCTCATCTCCCGGAGGAACCAGCTACTCCTTGAGTTCAGTTTCTGGAATGAGCCTGTACCTCGGAAGGGACCCAACATCTATGAACTGCGTACCTATAGACTGAAGGTGAGATGTTCTCTGTTTGCAGGGTGTGACAAGGGTGGTGAAGGATGAGAAACAGTTTGCCATGGAAACCTAAAATAATACAGACATCTTGCCTTTCAGCCAGGGACAATGATTGAATGGGGAAACAATTGGTGAGTAGTAATCTGTTACGTGTTTAATCTCTTATGAATTATCCCATATTTTGTCTTTCAATCTAATAATGAGAGTACAGGTAATGCTGTAAAGGGACAGTACAAATTATAATCCTATTTTCTTTACTGCTAGTACTGCTAGTATGAGCACAGTAGACAATTCTTGGATAAACATTCCAATATAGTTAATATATTAATAAAAGGCTCTCTGGCACTAAATTAGCTTTGACGGAGGCTGTACGACGTGCAGCACATCTTCATAGATGTTAGAAGAAAAACAGGACATGCATGTACATATATCATGTTTTGGTCTGTAGTATGTGCATGCTTGTGTAATATTAAAAAGATATATATAATGTCAAGAAACCCCACCATCTGTAGTATATTTCTTTAACTTCCTTCCATTAGCCTATCTGACCAATTTCTCTTTCCTTTTAGGGCTCGTGCAATCAAACATCGTCAGGAGAATGAGGAAGCAGTAGGTGGATTCTTTTCTCAGATCGGAGAACTATATGTTGTGCACCATCTTTGGGGTAACTATGCAAACATTCTAGACATTAAAAACTTTGTTTTTTGTTAATGAAATGTTACTATGCAAAACAGATCAATTAGTTTGTCCCAAATAATCTAATTAATGCAGTACAAGCAGGTGCTACGTAAAAGTGTTTGGCGATACTCAAAAAATGTTAACTGATCAGTGTGTGCTTGCTAGAAAGTATGTAAACAAACCATATTAATTAAATTAACCTCTTAAGGACACATGACAGATCACTCAAACTGAGCATTAAAGTATTTTGTATAGTTAAATCTATGCACTTTCTTACTTTTTCTCATGTTAGTACCTTAGTGTAATTTGTCTGAAATTATCATTGAACTTTTAGCTTACAAAGATTTACAATCCAGAGAAGACACTCGAAAATCCGCTTGGACCAAAAGAGGATGGGATGAGAATGTGTATTACACAGGTAATCTACCATGCTGAATTATTAGGTTGATTACTTCTGGTTATGAGCATGACTCCACTGACTTTCTTTTTTTCCCAGTGTACTTTAGTACCAGCATCATAGCCTCTCTTAGACTAGCATTAAGCTTATTGACCCTACACTCAAGAATAGAATAATAGTTTCCTTATACAGCACTTCTCAGTAGCCACAATGCTATATTTGTACACTAATTCATTTAGCATTTGGTTTAATGTTGAGGAGGCTTCCCAGCATCAATTAATGAAACTTTATACGGGATTAGGGCATTTTGTTTTGGGGGTGGGGGGAGGCAGTAAACTGGTTAAATAGCTAAACCTTCACATTTATTATTTGACAGTTTGTGTTTTTTTTTTTTGGGGGGGGGGGAGGTTTCTGACCACCCAGTCAGTTGTAAATTATATAGCTGTGTTAAAATGATTTCCACTCTGCTTCTGTGCAACCTTTCCTCTTACGAAGTGGTTAACAAATACATTTTCACTGCTCTACTTTTACTTCTTAAATAAAAACAAAAAGATATTTCCTGAAATTGCATCTGTATTTTCTGTGGTTGTCTTTGTTTTCATGTTTATAAACATGTTTGTTTTCTATTTTTATTTTTAGTCCCCCTGGTCCGGGATATGGAATCTCGTATCATGATTCCATTAAAGATTTCCCCGCTTCAATGACGACACCTGCCTCTAAGTTAAATTTCTCCCTGGAACCAAGATTCAGTAATTTGACCAAATCACACCTCTGTGGTTCTTTTAGGACTGTTACATGGAGAATGAGCAGTTAAGACATCTCACTTTACACCATCTTTAATAGCAATTTAAACATGGTATAATTCCCAGACATCCTGGTCTACAAGCTATTTTTTTTTTTTTCTTTTTTTGTTTGTTCCTCAAGCACTTTGTTGTGTGTTTTAGATGAACAGGACACATGTCTAGACTAGAGGAACAATGTGTGTAGATATTTACTTCCTTTTTAATGCTTTTCATGATTTTCTCATGTAATTACTGAGTTATATTAATGTAACTCCCTGCTTTAACTTGTAAGTTGACCAAGTGTAAAAAGAAAACCAGTAATTGATACAACTTATGAAATACTCAATTCTGTTTTGCTGGAATAACACTAGAAATGGCTGTCTGCTGTGTCCTTTATTATTATTTTTTATTTATTTATTTTTTTAAGTGATACTTTTAAGTACTTAAACAGTATTTCAAATATGAGGTCTGTTTTACTAAACAAAATATTTAAAGTAAATTGAAAACCCATTGTCAAAATGTAGGCCAAAATAGCAAAGTTGGAAAAAAATATCTCAATTGAATATTTCTTACAACTTTAGCATTATTGCATAAAGGTAAATTTCCGTTTTCATTGCCCCATAGTTGACATATAATTAGATGAACTCAATTTTATTTGTACTTGATTGCCTGCTGTACAGCAAAGGAAACGCATTACTGTGATCATCTCATTATTCTAAGTGTAGGTTTACAGGAGAGTTTCTGAAGATGTTTTGTTCCCATTGGCTCCTGTAATGTTTTACAGACAATGTAAATAAAAAAAAAACTACATTGCACGTAGACTTATTTAATCATGTGCAGGGGAAGGCAACCTTCGGCACTCCAGATGTTTTGGACTACATGTCCTGTAATGCTGGCAAAGCATCAGAGATGTGTAGTCCATCTGGAGTGCCAAATGTTGCCTACCCCGATCTAGTACATAGAGTAACCAGATTTTTGGATAAATGGTTTTGAGTGCCTTCTCTACGTGTGGGTTTTTTTTTTTTTTTTTTAAACTTCATAGGTGAATAAAGAACTATTTATGCTTTCTGCTACGAAAGTGAGAAACTCTTTGGGGTCCACTCACAAGTCGATTTGTCAGTAGATTGGATTGCTCGATGATGCAACCCCAAACTTTCTATAGATCTGCCATAATTTTTTTTTAATTTGGATCTGACTGTCAACTCGAATCATGAGAAATTTATTTAACCTGATTTTCTGGTGAGATTATTGAAGTTGAGAAATCTAAAGAATAGGGACTTGACAGTATGACAAGTCGCTTTTTGGGCCAAATTAACAACACGTTCAAATACCCATTTTAATCTGTTTAACTCGCTGATAATTTGAACCATACTAAACCCCTCGTATGTGACAAAATATTGTGAAACATTGGCCGCTACTTAGCAACTACCCATGTGCACAAATGATATTTTTTTTTTATTTTTTTTTTAATCTACGCTTGAACAAATTGATCTATCCAGGATTTAACTGTGGAGTCTTAAATGAAAAAGACTCCACAGGTAAATCACAGATTGATTTTTACTGGTGCAGACTAAAGGCATTTGATTAAATTATACCAGTAGTAACTCATTTATACACAAGTCTATTAGCGACTCTTTAACTAGCAGCTAACCGCTCAGATTATTCTATACAGGAGCTGCTAACCTCTACTTAGAGACTGGCTTACCGGTGCTGTTAACACCAATACTTTACACCACCCTGATACCTGGTTCAAGGAATTTATCAGCAAAGTCCTTATACATCCTATAGGAAAATACACGATAGCTATATGGAATCTTAAAGCACCTATTAAGCCATATAAAACAAACGAAACAGCTAGACATCTGATATAAAACATACAATTATCATTTTAAATATGTAAAATTTAATGTCTTGTAAATGAACAGTTCCAGTGCAGAAATCCACCTTTATTATTTGTGAAGTTCAAGATCAAATAGTACTACCCAGATGCTGGATTTAAATGGAGGATACCAAATTGTTGGAGAATGAAAGTATCAGCTGTGACGAAGTACAATTTATTATCAGAACACATTTATTTAGGAGCATGTACAAGGTGTATTATGCAATATGGATAAAACAGAATAGAAATGAAATGAATGAATCAAATGCCTTAATGTACAAACTGGTAACGTCAAGCATAATGTTGGTAAACCTCAAGACTGCATCCCCCTCAACATTCCAGGTTATGGAAACTGTTATGATGCCATTGAGAGGAGGTAGTCCACATTTTGTCGAAGAGGGAGATGTAAAGGACCTCCTGCAGAGGAACAAGGTCTTCCTTTAGACTGGTGGCTTATGTGGCTGGCCCCTCACTGGTACACAGCTGTTTTAAGTACTCTGCACATGGGCTTGGAGTTGGACTGAGTCTACGTGTAACAAATGTATCCAATGTTGTAATTGAGCTTTGCTCATTGGGAATAGTTCCCTAGTGTTACTGTACCCAGATTTCAGAACACAAAAGAACAAACCTGGGAGCATTAAGTGTCTGAGAAACTGCCACTAGAGGTGTTCCTGTCTGCAATGTAAGCACTGCCTTGTCTGTGAAGAGGCAGCGATTACATTGAACAGCCTGCAGGGACAGGCTATAGATACCAGAACCACTACATTAAGCTGTAGTGGTTCTGGTGACTAAAGTGTGGCTTTAAGCGTGGTGTTGATTGGCATGATACTGGCCCATATGGTGACACAGATACTCTCACTTTACCAAATAGCATCTCCTGTGTATGGTATATTTCATCCTATATGTTCTCAAAAAAATGGCAATGTTATGTATGTGGTGTACTCAGATTTATCCAAATCTACATGGTTATTTGCTAAAGTGAGAATTCTAAGTGAATTCAAAATTAATCTAATTTAAGGCCAAAATAGGCAAATTGGAAAAACTCTGTCACATACATTTTACATTGTTATACTTTGGCATTCAGTTTTACAATCGCTTTTAGGTAGTTTTATACAAAACTCCTTTGAAATTCACTGGTAACATAATAAATTCTGGGTGTTTTTTTTTTTTTGTAATTTTTAAATTTTGCTAATAATAATAGACATGGAAACATAGAATGTGACGGCAGATAAGAACCATTCAGCCCTTCTAGTCTGCCCAATTTTCTAAATACTTTCATTAGTCCCTAGCCTTATCTTATAGTTAGAATAAAAAATTTCTACACAATACAATAAAACAATCCTTAAAGGGACACTATAGTCACCAAAACAGTTTAAGTTTAAGCACTTTTTGTGTATAGATTATGCCTCTGAAGTTTCACTGCCATTTAGAAGGTAAATCACTTTTGTTTGTATATGCAGCCCTAGCCACACCTCCCATTGCTGTGACTGGCACAGCCTGCATGAAAACAAAATAGTTTCATTTTCAATTTGATGTAACTTGCTTTAAAAGTTATCTACTGCTCTTTAAATATAATTGTATTATATACAGGAGTCTCCTGCAGGGTCTAGTAAGCTATTACCAGTGCAGGAAATAAGAAATTCTAAACTAGACTGAATTTGCAATAAAGGAAGTGTAAACATTAGATGACTCTTTACATGAAGTGTTTAGGAAGGCTTTGCAAATTGCATGAAGGAAGGTGTGCCTAGTGCTGCAAAAACAAAATGACACCACCTAAATGACAGAGAACTGAGCAGTGAGTCTGCAGGGACATGATCTATACACCATAACTGCTTCATTAAGCTAAAGTTGTTTTGGTGACTATAGCGTACCTTTAATTTATAAGCCCTACTTGTTAAAATACCTCATACATCCAGGATTTAAATCATTTTTGAAAGTAGTAGGATAAATAATGCATAAAAAAAAAAAAAAAAACAGTTTTAAAAGCTAATCCATGCTCCATAATTGCAAGTCCAAACTGTATATTAAAAGGACACTATAGTCACCCAGACCACTTCACGTCAATGAAGTGGTCTGGATGCCAAGTCCCTCAGGTTTTAACCCTTCAGATGCAAACATAGCAGTTTCAGAGAGGCAGCCCGGTGCTGGATTAAGGTAAATTCCACGGGAGGGATTCCCTGAGGGTGGGGGCACTATAGTGTCAGGAAAATCACTTTGTTTTCCTGACACTATAGTGATCCTTTAACAGAAATTAGAGTACAGAGGTATTAAGAACATTTTGAAATGTTTCATGTAAACATTTTATATACAACCTATGTAATATCTGCTGGTTATATTTGGTTTTTACACATTTGATTTTGGGGGGGGGGGGGGGGGGGACTTCATAGTAGACTGTATCTGTTCCAGTATTATAAAGACCCCAGATTTGTATTCTGGTTCTGCTCCTGAGTACAGAAATACTTAGACATTTGCAAAGTGATTACGCACTATACCAGGTTCAATTTCCACTAATTTATTGGGCCCAGGTTACATTTAGGGGGGAAAAATATCAACTGCTCCTTCATGGTGACACTATTTGTAAAATAAGAAAAAATGGGCTAATTAATATGGAGTATTTGCAGTAGCTGTAGTGGTTATAGTGCCAGGAGTGTTCCTTTAATTCATTACAATTTGAAGTTCAGTGAATAGCCTGCCTATTTATTACACTATGCCAATGGTGGACAGATAGTAGACACCAAAAGTTGCCATTTTAAAGGCTGTTAAAGCATTTGTAGTTCTGTAATATTTTCTCAGCTCTGCTGTATGCGATTGCTTGTCGGGAGGACAGTCGTGCCCAATCTCCAACTCTATGGTATTCTTATGTCTATGCGGGTATTAGCTGACGTCCGTGCCCAATCTCCAACTCTATGGTATTCTCTGTGCTGCGTGCGCACCGTGCCCAATCTCCAACTCTATGGTATTCTCTGTGCTGCGTGTATTAGCTGACGTTCGTGCCTAATCTCCAACTCTATGATAATAAACGCTCGATCCAAGATTTGTTCTTCCGGGCGGTGACCTACGCAAACCGGAAGTAGAAGACAAGCGCTCAGGATCCGAAGAAAGACCATCGAGCGCAAGCTGGGCTGCTGGGGCGAACACCTGGAAAACGTGAGCACAATAAATATTCACCATAATTGTTAATCAATTATCTCGTAATTCAGCGCTCCTTACTGGACATGAACACCGAGCACACTAACAGGAGCCATAGCAAACCATGTCACATGTGACTAGCTATGTACTAACAGCTAGGGCTGGCGTGAAATGTATCGACAGCTCGGCAATCCGCCTCATACTATCACTGTGTGTATATCTATCTATCTGTCATTACACTGACCCCAGCTGACTGCCTGTGCCCCTTTGTAATACATACATTACATATACTTGTTACATTTCTATCTGTTACTATGTAGGGATGTTTGGTTAAGTTGGATTTTGCAGGGCGGTAATTACTTTAATTGTGCAACTAGTATGCAATTCTCTAATTTCTAATATTGTACATTTCCCACCTACTACGAATCAGATTTTAGCTTTTTCTTTTGCATTCCCTCTTCTAAACAGCCTGAATAATATGTTTTTAGTGAGCAGCGCAGGTCTTTATTATTTCTTAAAACGGGTACTGATGATGAAAATACAGTTTAGAGCAAAGTCTCTAGCCTATAGAAATTTCTGAATTGGCGATTTCTCCTCTCCCCCCCTCCCCCCCACTGTTAAATTGTTTGTCCAAAAATAAATTGCACTATATTCTAGCCAATTCCTTATTCTGGTAGCAAACTAGTGAAAGATCTTGTGATATGACAATAATTATTCAAATGTGAGCAACCCTGGAGAAGGACGATATGCTAACCATGTAAAATAAAACTGCATGCACTTTTTTTCTATCCTAGTACTTTGCCTGTATCAGACCGCTATGTCTTCAGATTCCTCCAAGAAGAGAAAGCCAAAAGTTATTAGAAGCGAGGAAGGAAAGAGAAGCCGTCATGATGAACAGGTAATATTAATTTTATGAAACACTGATAGGACTGTGCATTTTTTGTGAACTGTATCATTTTGTTAATATTCTATGTGATTGCCATGTAGGAGGGGCGATATTACAATGAGGAGGCAGAGGTGGATACACGTGATCCTAGAAAGGATTACCAACTTTACAAGGATACCTGCCAGGATTTACAGAGACTGATGGCAGAAATCCATGAGTTAAAAAGCAAAGGCAGCAAAGATGGGGTAAGTGTGTTACACTAATGTATAAAACATACATTCATTGCAAGTGCTGTGGAGCATCCCAAAACTACCTTAAAGATGTGATGTGTAACAACTTGTTGCACTTCAGAGATGTGAATACCGTATATACTCGAGTATAAGCCGACCCGAATATAAGCCGAGGCCCCTAATTTTACCCCAAAAAACTGGGAAAACGTATTGACTCGAGTATAAGACTAGGGTGGGAAATGCAGCAGCTACTGGTAAATTTCTAAATAAAATTAGATCCTAAAAAAATTATATTAATTGAATATTTACAGTGTGTGTATATGAAGAATGCAGTGTGTGTGTATGAATGCAGTGTGTGTATGAGTTTGCAGTGGGTGTATGAATGCAGTGTGTGTATGAGTGCAGTGTGTGTATGAATGCAGGGTGTGTGTATGAGTGCAGTGTGTGTATGATTGCAGTGTGTGTATGAATGCAGTGTGTGTATGAATGCAGGGTGTGTGTATGAGTGCAGTGTGTGTATGAATGCAGTGTGTGTATGAATGCAGGGTGTGTATGAATGCAGGGTGTGTGTATGAGTGCAGTGTGTGTATGAATGCAGGGTGTGTATGAATGCAGTGTGTGTATGAATGCAGGGTGTGTGTATGAGTGCAGTGTGTGTATGAATGCAGGGTGTGTATGAATGCAGTGTGTGTATGAATGCAGTGTGTGTGTATGAGTGCAGTGTGTGTGTATGAATGCAGTGTGTGTATGAATGCAATGCAGTGTGTGTGTATGAGTGCAGTGTGTGTGTATGAATGCAGTGTGTGTATGAATGCAGGGTGTGTGTGTGTGATGCAGTGTGTGTTTGTGTTGCAGAGCCTTGGTGGGGGGTGGGCATTTTTATAAAAAAAAATCTATTATTATTTTAATTTTTTTTGTTATATTATTATTTTTTTATTATTATTTTTTAATTATTATTTATATTTATATATTATTAATTAATATTATTTGATTTTTTTGTTATATTATTTTTTTTATTATTATTATTATTATTTATATTTATGTATTATTCATTTAATTATTTTTGTCCCCCCTCCCTGCTTGATATATGGCAGGGAGAGGGGCTCTCCTTCCCTGGTGGTCCAGTGGCATTGGCAGTTCAGTGGGGGGGAGGAGGGAGGCTGGCAGAGCTGTTACTTACCTCTCCTGCAGCTCCAGTCAGCTCTCTCCTCCTCCGCGCCGGTCCGTGCAGCTCTTCTCTCAGCTCACACTGTAAGTCTCGCGAGAGCCGCACTATGACCCCGCGGCTCTCGCGAGACTTACACTGGGAGCTGACCGAGGTGCTGCACGGACCGGTACGGAGGAGGAGAGAGCTGACAGGAGCTGCAGGAGAGGTAAGCGCTCGCTGCCAGCCCCCAGTCTGTATTATGGCAATGTAAATTAATGTAAATTGCCATAATACAGACACTGACTCGAGTATAAGCCGAGTTGGGGTTTTTCAGCACAAAAAATGTGCCCAAAAACTCGGCTTATACTCGAGTATATACGGTACATTTTTGTTTTCTAGAATGCGCATCCTTTAGTGAGGCTAATGAATAATCCAAAATTATAATTGTTTTTGGAAATAATCTTGCTTGCTGCAGTTATTTAATATTCTATCAGTTATTTCAATGTTTAATAATATCTCCAAATATTGCTCTATGTCATTAAAAACTTTGTGTGTTGATAATAACTCCTTCCTTGAATCGGGAAGCCATCCTGGTTGTTAACTTGACTGCCATGAGATGTTTCTAAATTAATTTGAAAAGTGTCTGACGTGCTATAGGGTTCTGGAGCGATAAACCTCATCTCTAGTATTATCTTTTTATTGAGTAGTTCAAAATTATTACCACAAGAAATGCAGAGCAAAACTGTCTTCAGAACTAAACTTAATGTAGTGGTTCTGGTGTCTATGGCATGTCCCTGCAGTCTTGGCACTTAATATCCAGCAGTGGTTTACATTGCTGGATAGTAACAACTCTAGTGACAGTCAATCAGACGGTCACTAGAGATGTTTCCTAGTCTGTGCATGGAGATGCTGAATGCTCCCGATGGATATGCATTGATCCAATGCGTCTCTGTGAGGAGATGTTGATTGACGCATCATGGTATTTTGCAGGGCATGCTCAATACCCTCCCAGTGCTTTCCTATTGGAAAGCATGGGATTGGTTTAGATCGTCAAGACTGGTCATCTCAGCTGTAGCAAGACCAGAGCAGCGCTGGAGAAAAGGTATGTAAATGGCCGCAAAAAATAATCGTAATCTAGCGCCCAAGAAGTCTTCTCTCTGCAGCCCCTCTGCCAGTGGTAAGATCAAAATGGTTGCGATAGTAAATCAGAAGCTTATAGTTTTTACAGCTGTAAAAACATAGACTTTTATTATAACATCAATAAAATATTAAATTCACAGATCTGGGCTTCAATAGTCCTTAGCTTAGGTCATATGACCATTATACGGCTGGGTCGGACCATTAATTGGAAGTATATGTAAAAGTTTTAATGAAAACTGATGCCACATTATTTTGAAATACCTAGAAGAGACGGGTCCTGTTTTTTTGCTACAATAGTTTTACAGTTACAAGCTCGAGAATCTAGAAAACACTTTGCTCGGTGCTTAGGCACTGTCTTCCACTTAGCAGTTTGGAAATGTTTCTTACCTCCCTTTGCTTGGGAGATCATTGGTCTGCTACACACCTACCACTGCCTACAGGAAAGAACAGAATACTGACAGGTTCACAATATGTCCTAAGTTATATTGCAGTTACTTATGACACCATACTATGAATATATGACACAAAGGTGTTAACTCATCGAGAACAATTTCAGGGATAGTGTTTTTAAAATAAAGTAAATTTAAACAAATGTTCCCGTTTGCTCCAGAATTACAACTTCAGATTTTGTGTTTTCTAAATAACTCCCAAATGAGTTCATGCATCGAAGACATTGCAACTTGCCAACAAGTAACTTGGCTAGGGACCATTAACCCCTTAAGGACCAAACTTCTGAATAAAAGGGAATCATGACATGTCACACATGTCATGTTTCCTTAAGGGGTTAAAGGGACACTATAGTCACCAAAACAACTTTAGCTCAATGAAGCAGTTTTGGTGTATAGAACATGTCCCTGCAGCTTTACCGCTCAATTCTGTGCTATTTAGGAGTTACATCACTTTGTTTATGAACCCTAGTCATACCTCACTGCATGTGACTTGCACAGCCTTCCTAAACACTTACTGTAGAGTCATCTAAAGTGTATCCTTTCTTTATTGCAAGTTCTGTTTAATTTAGATTTTTCTTATCTCCTGCTATGTTAATAGCTTGCTAGACCTTGCAAGAGCCTCCTGTATGTAATTAAAGTTTAATTTACAGAGCTAGAGATAAAATTGTTTAACCCCTTGAGGACACATGACATGTGTGACATGTCATGATTACCTTTTATTCCAGAAGTTTGGTCCTTAAGGGGTTAAGGTAAATTACATCTGAAAGTGAAGCCAATTTTTTCCCATTCAGGCTGTGTCAATCATAGCCAGGGGAGGTGTGGCAAGGGCTTCAAACAGAAACAAAGTGATTTAACTCCTAAATGGCAGTGAATTTAGCAATAAAACCTGAGAGGCATGATCTATACACTAAAACAGCTTAATTAAGCTAAAGTTGTTTAGGTGACTATAGTGTTCCTTTAAGTAACCTGATTATTTGTATTTATTGTATATCTATAATAAACATGAGATATATATTAGATATATCTGTCTCTAATACCCAGCATTATAAAATATTTTCCCCTTTAGGCTTTAGAGATTGAAGAGCGAAAGATCCAGAGCTGTGTGCACTTTATGACTCTTAAGAAGCTAAACCGGCTTGCTCACATCCGGCTCAAGAAAGCACGGGACCAAACTCATGAGGTAATGGTATTCGTTTGTCTTCACCTTGTTATTTTTATTCACAATCTGCACAAAATAAGAGAGTAATCTTGCTTCACAGAAACAAAAGTAATCTGCTAACCCCAGATATAGTGGACAGGCCTGACTGGATTATCTTATTTTGTACGTTCATCAAAAGGTGGCAATGTAATCATATAGGATCTTGCTAATTTCTCTTGTAGGCCAAGCAGAAGGTTGATGCCTATCATCTTCAGCTGCAGAACCTCCTGTATGAAGTCATGCATCTTCAGAAGGAGATTACAAAGTGTCTGGAGTTTAAGTGAGTACCTGCCTTCTCAACCCCTTCAACATCAGCAGCAGCAAACTCCTCTACAAGAACAGGCCTCTAAAACTTCCTGAATTGTAATGCTACTTATATGTATCCAGGCAGAAGTTACTTTTTATTGGAATGTAGTCTCTTCCATTTACTTATAGAAGGCATTTTAGTAAAGGTGTTCTCATCTCTTCATCCTCCATCAATGTATGAGTAGCTTGGGTTCCTGAAAGAAGCAATTTGGATTTGTTTTATTTTTTGTTGTTCAGGTGTAGTAATAATGTGAAGATTTCTTAGTTAAGTTCTTTATTTCTTTGTATGAAGGGCAGAATGTCTGCTAGAAATATACAACCCAGTGCCCTCCTTTTCAAGAATGTCTTGGCATTTTTATTTGCAGCATATTAACAGTACTATAAATTCTCAATTTTCCAGATCAAAGCATGAAGAGATTGAACTGGTGTCTGTGGAGGAATTTTACAAAGAAGCACCAGCTGAAATCAGTAAGGCTGATATTACCACAAATGACCCCCATCAGCAAACTTTGGCACGTCTAGATTGGGAGTTGGAGCAACGGAAAAGGTTTGTGGTGACTGCAAGCGTCCAGAATGTGTATTGTTTTTTTTTTGTTTGTTTTAAGGCCTTTCACGTACGTTGTCGTGAATGCTGCATTTCTCAAAATGTATTTTTCTGGCATCTTTCCCAGCATAGTCACCTGAACAACTCTAGCTTAATGAAGCAGTTTTGGTGTATAGAACATGCCCCTGCAGCCTCACTGCTCAATCCTCTGCCATTTAGGAGTTAAATCCCTTTGTTTATGCAGTCCTAGTCACACCTCCCTGCATGTGACTTGCACAGCCTTCCATAAACACTTCCTGTAAAGAGAGCCCCATTTAGGCTTTCTTTATTGCAAGTTCTGTTTAATTAAGATTTTCTTATCCCCTGCTATGTTAATAGCTTGCTAGACCCTGCAAGAGCCTCCTGTATGTGATTAAAGTTCAATTTAGAGATTGAGATACAATTATTTAAGGTAAATTACATCTGTTTGAAAGTGAAACCAGTTTTTTTTTTCATGCATGCTATGTCAATCCTAGCCAGGGGAGGTGTGGCTAGGGCTGCATAAACAGAAACAAAGTGATTTAACTCCTACATGACAGTGGAATTGCAGGGGAATGATCTATACACTAAAACGGCTTTATTTAGCTAAAGTAATTTAGGTGACTATAGTGTTCCTTTAAACTGTATCTATGTGGTAAACCAATTCAAATGTACATTTGATAGAAGCAGGATTTTACCAGTGATTGCTTTGTTTTCTGTCAAATACTATTCTGTCTGTTATCCTTAAAGATTACAATTCTGCCTCCACTATGCTGCACCGAAAATACCCTTTTGAGGCATTTTCTTAAAATCTTTTGGCAATTGTCACTAGTTCCAATGAGGTGACTCCGAGCCAGTAACTTGCTCTGAACATGTTCTTAGAGAAAAATATAGTCTAGTGCCCACAACCAAAAATGTGTTGTACATATTTTTTTATTTTTTTTCTGTAGGTTGGCAGAGAAATACAAGGAAAGCCTTGCCAGTAAGGAGAAGATTTTAAAGGAGATTGAAGTTAAGAAGGAATATCTGAACAGTTTGCAGCCCCAACTTAACAGCATTATGCAGGTAATGTCTCTTAGAATGTCCAGACCAATGCAATTGTCCCTACACACATCCAGTCATAGGCACACTCCTCTTCCAAGTCTGATAAGAGAACAGTGGAGGCGGAAAGCCAAAATAAGTTTGTTTGATCAAATTATGTGACTAGATGCGTGTAGGGATGGTGTTCATTGGAGATTTTAACATTGTAAAAGTGTGTTTAATCTATTACAGTAAATGTTTCCTATTAGTGGAATACGTTGTACTTTTCTGCTTTTAATTTTGTAGATGCTATCTGAGGAATCTAATTCCCTGGTTAATCTACAGCACCAGTGACATCCCTTTTAATATATTAAAGGACCACAATAGGCACCCATACCACTTCAGCTTAATGAAGTGGTCTGGGTGCCAGGTCCAGCTAGGGTTAACCTTTTTTTAAACATAGCAGTTTCAGAGAAACTGCTATGTTTATATTAGGGTTAATCCAACCTCTAGTGGCTGTCTCATTGACAGCCGCTAGAGGGCTTCCGCAATTCTCGCTGTGATTTTCACAGTGAGAAGACGCCAGCGTCCATAGGAAAGCATTGTGAATGCTTTCCTACGGACTGGCTGAATGCGCGCGCAGCTCTTGCCGCGCATTCAGCCGGAGAGGAGAGTTTAACCCCTTCCTCTCCATCCAGCCCGGCGGGAGGGGGTCCCTGAGGGTGGGGGCACCCTCAGGGCACTATAGTTCCAGGAAAACGAGTGTGTTTTCCTGGCACTAAAGTAGTCCTTTAAGTGGTAGGGTTCTAGACTATTGACATTTTATGTGAGATTCTTGTTGCAGGTTTATTTATCTTGCAACAAGTTCACATTTGTTTGCTACATCAGCTACACTGTTACATGGATATTTGGACATTAGGAATTTTTTATATACTTTTGGCACATACTTTTTTCTTTTGGCTTATCTTTGCTTTATTATTTTATAGAAGTTTATTTGCCATTCTTACTGATTTTGACACTTATTTTTATATTTATTTGGTATTTTATTGCCCTGTTTGATCTAAGCTGCTGCTCCTGGTTTATGAATATTTTTTTTCTGTTCATTTTTGTTACATCTTGCAATGTACATGGTGAATATAATATTTTTCTACTTGTGATCTGTTATAGTAAATGTAATATTTTTCACCCAATGCAAACTGAATTTTTTTTGTTTGTTTGTTTTGTTTTCCAGGCTTCACTGCCAGTCCAGGAATATCTGTCCATGCCTTTTGACTGCATGCACAAACAATATGAAATAGCACGTCACCTACCTGCACCCTTGTACGTTCTGTTTGTCCAGGCCAGTGCCTACAGTCAAGCATGTGGTGAGTATCCTTTGAGTGATGGGCAATTAGGTGCAGTATAAGACGGGTCAGATTTTTGTTCAGGGTCTTTTTTACTTGCTTTGATGCACTAGTTAGTACAGTATTTCTCCCAAATGTTGTTCTCCAGGAAGCAATATTTCATTGTATCACTAATTTTAATACTGTCTGACCCATAAGCTTATAAATAATAATGATATACGATTAATTACATGAAGATGGACATCTTTGTTTGTAAAGTCTTTGATTTTGCAAACGTGTGTTTTACATAAACATTCCTCTTTCTTTTCCTTTCTGTCATTTGATCTGTCCTTCATATTTACCTCTTATTCTCTCCTGTGTTGTGTTGTTTTGTTTCCCCCCACCCTCCTCTTTTTGCCTTCATGTTAGCCCACATGAAGAGTTATTCCCAGTACTATAGGCAGGGTGAGTAATTCGCTTCTGTTGACCACATATTTTGTTTTTAGCTCTGCATGGTTTGGATTTCCCAGGATGCTTACTTATTGATCGATATTTCTTGGGAGACTTGTCCTGGCTTACTGGAGTAAAAAAAAGAGATCAGTACTTTCTTACACTGTATATGCTTGTTAAACAATGACCAGCACTCCACTGTCAATTTGAACAAAATCATAAGCTAGAACTATTAAACACAATACCCGGTATATATTGCCATTTTGTTTGCGCACAAATATTCATGAAGAACGTAGGATTAAGCACCCTGCAGTCTGTGAAACTCTTAGTTCCCTAGCTTGTCATAGTAATATTTTATTTTTTATTTTTTTTATATAAATGTCTAGTTCCGAAGTATTATGCATGTAATCTGTTGTTTCTAAACAACTTCTTCTGCTTCTAAGTGCAGCTATATGTAGTTATGGATGCGCTCACACACCTTTTATAACCAAAACATAACCATTCATCAGTCACAAGGTTTTATATTCTATTTAAATAAGATCTGCTTCAACCTGAAAGGTAGATCATCAGATATTGTTGAACCGCTCCCATGATGCTTTTCATGCCTTTAGAATAACAAGGCATCATGGAAGTTGTAGTTTTAAAACATCCGGGATCTACCTTTTGGGCACCCCTGCTTTAGTTATTGAAAACCCGTCAATGCAAATATACACAATCACTTGTGGATTTTTTTTATTTGTTATATGATACATATTTTCTTTGGACTTAGGATTTCTAAATTTCACCTTCCTTGTAAGGTATTATGTTTTCGCCCCCTTCTCTCCATCTATCTCTTTCTTTACTTACTCACAGTGTTTTAGCTTTATCATAAATGGCAAACTCCTGTGCTCTGTTTTGTATAACTTACTGTCTAATTTACCTATCCCCTCTTTGTAGACAAGAAGCTCGTGGTCTCCATTGAAGGGAGTGTGGCAGAAGCAAGAGCTCTGTTTAAACCAACAGAGGATTCTCAAGGTTAGTGCATCAGTGTCAGGGGATAATACTTCACCCTTTTCATGCAATGGAGCAAGTACAGTTGTCCTATATTGCTGTATTATTGTTTAGAAAGAGCCAACTTTTCTGCAGCACTGTGTAGTGAGTGGACGACACATACAAGTAAATTTAGCAAGACCAGTCTGACTTTCATGAAGAATAGCTATTAGAACGCTACTCAAACTTTCATTTTCTAGAAAGTGGGGTAATATTTAACTGAAATAGCAGTAAAGTGCATATTGAACAAAAAAAAAAATGAACTGGTATATTAACGATATAGTTCATAAAATTAAAGGGTTTCTCCAATCATCACCACTACAGCCCTCTGTTGTGGTTATGAAGCCAAGAGTACCCTGGACTGGTTCCTCAGTCATGGGGCAGACTGTTAAGGACAGTTTCCTTCCTACATGGGTCACAGCTGTGGTCAGAAGTTCCATGGTGGTCCGGTATGCTTTTGCTTTATCGCCTGAAAACTGACTGCTCTCCCTCAAAGATTGACATTGTTTAATGAAAGTTGCACAGAACTAACATTAGCCAACCCAGAGCATTGGACTGCGCCCAATGCTGGAGTTACATCTCCAGCAGAAGAGTGGTTAAACACCATATTATTTATTTATAAAATATTTTACCAGGAAAGATACATTGAGATTTCTCTCGTTTTCAAGTATGTCCTGGGTCCACAAATCATTGCATTGTTACATTAGATACAACAAAATACAAAAACAATATTAATACACAATATATACAAAATTTAACATAGAACAGGCAGGAAATATATAATCAATAGAGATGTCGCAAACTTCTCGTGAACCGTTCGCGGCGAACTCCGGTCAGCTGACACATCCCGGCCAATCTCCGGCAGACCCTCCCACCTCCTGGACAGCATCCATGTTGAAGCTGCCTTCAACATGGATGCTGTCCAGGAAGTAGGAGGGTCTGGGAGGGAGGGTCTGCCGGAGATTGGCCGGGATATGTCAGCTGACCGGAGTTCACCGCGAACGGTTCGCGAGAAGTTCGCGGACGGTTCGCGACATCTCTAATAATCAACCATGACACGTGCATTCTGTTTTGAGGTATGTAGAGAGGGATCTCTTAAATGACTTTAGGCTTAGGGAAGATTTGAAATTGTGCGGGAGGTCGTTCCACAATTGCGGTGCTCTGTAGGAGAAGGAGGATCGGGCTGCTTTCTTTTTGTATTGAGGTAGACTAAGTAAAGTGCTTGTACTGGATCGGAGCTTATAGAAAGTGGGAACAGCTGGAGAAAGCATTTTGTTCAGGTAGGGTGGGAGTTTCCCAGAAAAGCTCTTAAAAACAAGGCTGGAAAGATGAAGGGTGCGTCTGGATTCATCATGTCATTGTGAAACATTTCACTTAAGTGATTTGATGGGTCTGTGTGTGATCATGGTGCTTAGGGCAACCCTTTAAGAAGGGTGCAGACACAGAAAAGACATAAGTCTTCAGTTAAGTGGCGATGGCAGGATGGAACATAATTCTTAATTAGTAAGGATTTGTATACTCACACTGTTGCAGAGAGATTTAAAGGAAATGACAAGATTGTTGAATTGAACCAAGAAATGTAAGAACTCTCCAGTTCCATTATCCTTTGAATGCTTTTGTATGCGGCTTTAAAATATGCAAACCTGCTTATGTTATACCAATCATCTCTCTATACAATACCAACAAAATATCCTTTATAATTTAATTCCCGCAGATGATGAGAGTGATTCAGATGCAGAGGAAGAGCAGACAACGGTGAGAAAAGAAAATGCTAACACGCTTAATACTGACACTAGTAAACTGGCACATGCGCGCTCTGCAACAATTAATGTTCTCCAACATTTATTATAAATATATATTTTTAACTTGGCAATTGGATATGTTAATAATTGGTAAAAGGACACACTAGAGTGCCTGTTGTCTACTGGCGCCATCTCACTGTTCAGGGATAAACCCTTTTCTAACATTTTAACATGAGGGTCCCCTGCAGCTTTGCCCATCTCTGAGAAAGTTTGGGCCTGTACAGTGATGGGCACTAGTGATTGGCTGAAAGTTGAGTGTTCTGATTTGCTATGGCTAATGCAAAGTTTAGGACAACAGTTTGTTTGTTTGTGTGTGTGTGTGTGTGTGTGTGTGTTTGGGAATAAAAAAAAGTTTAACACTGTGGTGCGGTGCCGGGTTACTCCTGGCACCATAACCTCTACAATGAAATAAAGAGTGTTCCTTTTAAGGCAATTCCTGTTAAATTATAATAGAGGTACAAGAAGGCCTGTTCCAGACACATGGAGCTCATTGTTCTTTGGACAGATTTGTTTTGTTGTTGTTGCATATTACACATAATATATTGCTTAGGCACCTTGCAACGGACAGCCAACTGACAACTTATTAGCAGAGTAAATTTTAGGCAGGGGAATGTCAGATAAAAAGTGGGTGTAATTATATGGCTTCAAACACTTAAAGGTACACTACAGTCACCAAAATAACTTTAGCTTATTGAAACAGTATTTGTGTAAAGATCATGCCTCTGAAGTCGCACTGCTCAATTCTCTGCCATGCAGGGGCATGATCTATACACCAAAACTGCTTCATGAAGCCAAAGTTATTTTGGTGACACTAGTGTCCCTTGAATGCACCACCAAATTCTTATGTTTTGTGCTTGTTAGACCTTCTTCTAAATTTGAACATTTAAATAATGACTCTTTGAGCTAATTGTAGTGGTTTTGTTCTTATAATTTGAGAATTATTTGCTTGAGTACAAATACATATTTTCATAGCTACCAATGTAAGTAATCTTTGCATAGCTGTGGGTAAACCTTATTCTAGCTCATGAGTTGTAAAATAATGCATACATCTAGATCAAGTGCTGTCATTGCTTTTTATTACAAATTCACTTTCAATCTTTTGGATTAATTGCATGTAGAAACGACGCAGGCCAACTCTTGGAGTCCAGTTAGATGACAAACGAAAGGAGATGCTTAAAAGACATCCACTGTACGTCTGCCTAACAATTAAATGCAAAGGTAAGCTATTTGGGGTTCAGGATACGAACACAATCTGTAGATTGTGATTGCAATGGTGTCATTATCTGTTTCCTTAATTTTAGATGGCAGTTCTCTAAATCTGACTTTCTACTTCCTCACGAATCTCAACATCCTTACTGTGAAGGCCAAAATATCTTCAGCCTGTGAGCTACAAAGTGCAATAAGTGCTGGGTAAGAGACCAGTGAGGGAAAAGTAACATAAGTCAAAAGTCAGTAATTAGAAGGTGAAATATGAGTTAATAAACAACCTGTTCTAACCTAATCATATTTTTCTTCTTTGACCTTAGTTATTAATTTATGTAATTTTTGTATAAATCAAAGCATGCTTCTGATTGATGATCATAGTTCTTGGGGTGTATTATGCAGACCTTGATTCCACTTTCTCCTCTGTTGTGGGCACACTTGTCTTTAAAGCAAAGTCCTGTGCCTTTGCAAAGAAAGATACTTCCAAATGTTCTATGCTGAATCCAAGTAATGTAGGGACTGCCTACATAACGGTAGATGTACTATCCAGATTTTCTCTCTAATACAGGTTAATTTAACCACTTCAGGGTGTTTCATTATGTCCAAACTCTTACCTGTCTTTAACGTCGTTAAGATGTATTGATACACTGTAACATTTTGGAGTGAGCAATGTTACAACCCTGCTTAAACCAGGGAGTCCTGGGTCTCAGTCGATACCTAGGGGTTAATTCTGTCGACTGGGGCCACTTTTACTGACCCCAAACTGTGAGATGCGTTGCATAAAGCTCTTTTAAATAGAGAATCAATTACCCAATGATCGCTATGTAGTGTGATCAGGGTTAAAGCCCTGCTAACAGGAGATTCAGTTATCAATAGATACCTGGGATTCCTCTGTCAGCTGGGGCAATTTCTAGGGAGTGCTGCTACAGCCGTTAAAATAGGCATTTATATGTCTATTGCTACAACGTGGTCTGAGCAGGGTTTAAGCACTGCTCACACTGGAGACCCAGGTATCATTTGAAACTTAAAGCTCCCCTTCAGTACACTAAGGTTGTGGACCTTAGTGTACCCAAGCTAGCCAATGAGTTATATGAAGTGCTCAAAGTGAGCGTGGCATATAGCTCTTAATATCAAATGAGAACACTGTGGCTGAGCTGATTGCAATCCGCCAATGATTCTCAGATTGGAGCTGCTGGAGAAAGACCCACAGGGTCTCCCTTCATGCCGCCATGCCTTTTGTGATTGGTGCTGGGCTTTGCTTGATTTCAGTATTTCAGGGAAGTCTCCCTGTAATACAGAAAACATCCAGCATATGGCAGCAACATACCATACTCTAGTGTTTTACCAAGGAAACACATCTGCTGACATCCGTACTGATGTAGAAAGCAGCACCTTCACAATGACAGACAACTTCCTCCGTCCTTAAGAGGTTAATATTGCAATGATGTTGTAAGTAGGATTAGAAATGCATAAAAAGTATTTCTAATAGGCTGATGGAAGCCTTATGTATAACCCTACAATTTTGAAGGGTTATACATTAATGATGAAAGAGCCACTTTAAATGCATAAGTATTATACATTTTAAGTAGTCTGCCAATAGCAATTCGAATATTTTACTCCCGTAACTTAAAGGCTGGTGTTAAAGTCGTATAGCAATAGTAGACCAATTAATGAATTTGAAGGTGCATTTTGGAGTTTAAATCTTTTTAATATTTTGAGTGCAGGTGTATGTCACCTGTGTGGATGTGACAAATGTAATTTGTTTTAATATGATCAGAATCAGTCAATGAATATGCATTTTCAGTTTTACATAGTAACTGAATGTTTTATCTCTATCCTCATGATAGGGATCTATTGAACCCAGACTTAATTTTGAGCTGCCTCTACCCTGGAGATGATGGAAATAAGACCCCTAACCCTGCCAACAGATACCAGTTTGATAAAGTTGGGTGAGTTATTACGCTGCGTGTTTTTACCTGACACACACACACACACAAAAAAACTGATCCAGATTGCCACATAATATATATATTATTATTATTTTTTTACATTGTAGCATTATATCCCTGAGTGATTACATTTCAGAATTGGGGCACCCCTACCTATGGGTACAGGCAATGGGTGGAATCCATTTCCCTACAGATCTTCCCCAGGTAAGACATTTTCAATATATAGCTTTTGCTGAGTAGATCCCGTTAAATGATAGTTAGATTTTCTTTGGTGTGGAACATATGGGATGTGTAGTAGTAAAGAGGAAAAAAGTGAATTCCTTTATTCAAGCCAACAGGGTATTTCTGCACCCCAGGTTGATTTTTCAAGCCTGTGACATAAAAATAAAATTTGAATAAAAGCAATGTGAAACATGCAGTCTGCCCTGGTTGTGGACAGTCAATCTCTGCATTCCTTCCGTTTTATATGGAATTTGTTTAGGAAGCCCACATTTGATTATCTGTGCAATGTCTGTTGCAAATCCTGCTATTAGTGAGGAATTCTCACAAGATGTGAGTTTTGCATTCCTCAAGCCTTCTATTCAGTCAACCAGCAATGTGTGAGACAAGAACAAATCAATTCCTACCTGTTGAAACTAAAAGAGGAACATGTACATTATTTATTTAAATTTTTTTTTTTTTTTTTTTTTTAATTCAAAGTATACTAGTACAAGATGTTCTTTACTACTTGGAAAAAAAAATAAGTAAACTGGACAAAAAAAAAGCAACCCACCTCCCACAACCATGGAGAACAAATGTTCTCTGCGTATCAGTGGTACCCGTGTTCAAGAGTTCCTGACATTCAGGGATATAGGTAGGACAGAGTTATTGGGTGTCATCTTCCAGACTTTGAGGTCAAACCATTTAACAGTTTAATCCCTTAATGTAAGAGGGGACCCATGTCCTCCTCACACACTAACAACTTAATTGCAATGAAGTTGTTTTCATACCTGGAGTGGTTCATTAACTTTACACTTAAATATGTGTAACTTGCAAACCAAGATTTTCTTTTTTTGAGAGGACAATTCTGTGCATGCATACAGTTAACACACATTTCCTTCACAAAACCGGTTTTCTCTTTCTGTCTCTTCTCCAAACAGCCATCAATCATAGCGGACAATGCTCTCAGTGCCAGCCATATGGAGAAGACAATTAATCTACTGAGGTGCAGAGTGCAATCCCGCTTGTCTCTGCACCGGCAGTTCGCATCTTTGGGTGAGTTTCTCCCCCCTCCCCCCCCCCAAATCTCTGCATGGTGACTGCATAGCCAAATGCTAATGCATTCTTTCATTGGTATTTCAGAGCATGGCAGCATTCCAGTATCTGCTGAGTGCCAGCACCTGTTTCCAGCCAAGGTGGTGTCTCATCTGACAAAGTGGCATACCATCACATATGATGATTACTTGGTGGGTAAAAATAATTCTGTCAATGTGGACCTTTTTACTTTTGTCTGTACATGGCCACTAAAATTACATTTAATTTGTGCCACTTCTGGAAATGGTCTTTCTGAATGACACAATTCTACATCTTCCTTTGAAAAACTTCTGGATGAGCTGTAATGGAACTCATTGAAAGTCTGTAATAGCGGTGTGTGGCTAGTCCACAAGGCTTAGCAAATAATGCAAGTACGGAAGGGCTTGCAGTAGCTGCAGATACTAGATTTGTATGCTCCCTAAAGGGGGGTGGGACGGGAGGGCAATAGGTCCCCTGTTCAGTTTAATAGCCCCGGGGAAGGGGGGCACTGCTCACTGTTTACTAGACATGCCCAGACAGTAGGGGCAGAATTTACTATCACAAGGTAAATATCTTTTGTCCTTTTGGTAGATAGCTTCCTGATACATCTGCGGCACGAATAGGATCGGAGTTTAATTCATTAGAATGAAATTCCAATCCAAACAAAGTCCTGAATTGCGTCCTAACACGAACTGTTCTCATTCTGTTAGGGCAAAATTCTGTAGTTTCGCCAGCATTCTGTCTAAGTGACAGGATGTTTGGGAGTACTGACAGGAAGCATCGCAAGATCACGGATCAAAGGTGAGAATTGTGGGGAAATTGCTTTGATCACTGGAAACGAAGCACACTTTGCTCCTCTGCTGGTCAACCGTAGGAAACCAGCATAAGACAAAGTAGTGCCTACTTTGTCTTATGTTTTAAAGAAAACTAGAGCAGACAGGAAGAAATTAAGAATAGATCCTGACAGAGGGAGTGAAGAGGAATCGATTAAAGAAAGGTAAGCTCGGCATGACAGTGCTGCTTTAATTTTATTCAGGAGGCTCTTGCAGGGTTTAGTAAGCTATTAACATAGCAGTAGATACAAAATTCAAAATTAAACAGAATTTGCAATAAAGGACTTGTAAACATTAGATGACTCTTTACAAGAAGTAAATAGGAATTGTTTGTAAGTCACTTGCAGGGAGGTGTGACTAGGGCTGCATAAACAAAATGATTTAACTCCTAAATGGCAGAGAATTGAGCTGCGATACTACAGGGACATGATCTATACACCAAAACTTCTTAATTAAGCATAACTTGTTTTAGTGGCATTAGTGTCCCTTTAATAACCCTGTCTGTCAATGAATTTGTCTCAATTGGCATCCTGCTTCTGCAGGAGAAGATTGAATGCAGTTTGGGTGCCCGGCAAGACTGTACTTAAATAGTTTGATTATAGTGAGATGGGACCAGGGCGTTCCTGGCACCATAACCACTGTAGTGAAAAAGGATGTGTCTCTGTTGAAAGCAGCTAATGATTTATTTACTGCAGGCACTGCCTTACACAGCTGATGTCGTAGAGTGTGGATTAGCACAGGATATGTACCAATACTACTCCTTAATGATTGAGCGAGGAACAGGTATGAAATATGACCAAATTAATTTTAAACCATGTTGTAGATTTCTGCTAATAAAACAACTTTGGATTTTGGATATGCTAAAGCTCAATGTGCGCAGTGCAACTATTTCTCGTGTGTGTTATAACTTGGGTTTTGTTTTTTTTATGAATTTAATTGAATATATCATGGCAAATTTAGGTCTGTATAATGTAGGACAACCACCAACGTACCAATGTTAGATGCTCAAATATACCACAGTCCATCTTATGTAATTGAAAATTTAATTTCCTGGCATCTGGGATGATGAAATGCCTCTGTGTGGGTTTATAATAAAGGTCAATTATGATGAGTTCTTACTACATACATTTAGTACTTGTGAAAGACCCCGGCATTCAACCAATGCTAGCCTCAAAAGCTTACTTTTTTTGTATGTATGTTGTTTTTAATTTTTCTGTTTCTGAAATATTTGACTTGTCTTTACAGCCAAAATGGAGGCTGTAATTGTTTTGAACCCTGGTTACTGTGCCATCCCTCCACTTTTCAGACTTTGTCTGCACTGGAAGGGTGATCGTAGCTCCAGCAATGATGAAAATATTCGGGTAAGGATATACAATAGTACTGACATGACAAAAATACTTAAATTGTCTGAGTTTTGTTTTCATAGAAGATCACCAAGTTAACTTTTTGCATGCAGAATGTGAAGAGCCAGTGCTTGGGCCTATGCATTACACAGAGTGCTTAATTCTAACTCGTATTAACAGTAGTTTAATTTTTCCATTGATCAGCATGTAATAGACCTCTATATTTTTTTTTTTATTTTTTTTTTAATTGCTTTGTCTCTTTCTCAGGCCATGGAGACTGAGGTTAATGTTTTCTACAAAGAGCTGTGTGGTCCTTCTCCAGGCTGCCAGCTCTTAACCAATCAGCTGCAAAGATTATGCATGCTTCTTGATGTTTATTTGGAGACTGAACGCCATGATAATAGTGTAGAAGGACCCCATGAGTTTCCCCCTGAGAAGATCTGTCTGCGCTTGGTGAGGTAAGTGCCGCTCCTGCACTATAAGGTTGTTTTTGTCTTCCAAACATTTTAGAGTGGCCTTTTATTGTGTCCAGCTTAAGGCACACCTGTGCAATAATCATGCTGTCTAATCAGCATCTTGATATGACACACCTGTGAGGTGGATTTATTAGGAGAAGTGCTCACTAACACAGATTTAGACAGATTTGTGAACAATATTTGAGAGAAATAGGCCTTTTGTGTACATAGAAAAAGTCTTAGATCTTTGAGTTCAGCTCATGAAAAATGGGGGCACAAACAAAGTGTTGCGTTTATAATTTTTTTCAGTGTATGTATCACCTGTCAGCCTATTTTTGAATACCTACATCAAGTTTAGTACAGTACGGGCACTCAGGGCACTTGATCTGTATAAAGGAAATAATGAACCCACGGTTCAAATGTCTCTGTGTATACACCCGTACAGAACTCCCCCTGGGGACAAAACCCAGGGTGTACCGACAGATGCCCCACAGAGACCAGTGTACCAATATGGGACTCCAGAAATCCCAAACGGGGCTTAACCCCAAGAAAAACAATAGGAAAGATATATAGCACAGTGCGGTTCGTCTACCTATTGTCATAGGGACTAACCACACATCTGGAAATGTCTATCGCAATATAGCGTCTAATGGAAAAATAACTAACGACCCAAAAACAAAAAAGTCAAATAAAGTATATACAAATGTGACTCAAATTCCATGCCAGATAGAGAGGGTATATGTGGGGATAGAATTAAGCCATCCAATATGCTATCAAAAACCCTAAATTATCTGCTTTATTAAGTTGTGGCATTATAAGGGTGTGAAAAGCAGACGGCTATCTCCCCAACTGAATACCCCACTCCAAATTGTCAAAAGTTAGTATATAAAGAATGCTCACAATAGAGCTAGTAAAGGTACAGTGGAGAGATATACGATGAAAAACAGATCAGTATTCAGTCTAAAAGCAGACTGGTATTAGCATTTAGACAAAGCCTCTCTCCCTGTAAATCTAACTAGACAGGCATAGGAAATAAATAAGGAAGAAAATAAGTGTTAAGTATAAATCATGGTGCTAAAGTCACCAGTGCTCATATGAAAGATATGAGAAGGAAATGCCCGACGTACGTTTCGGTGCTATAGAGGAGCACCTTCGTCAGGGGCCAACAGAAGACTAGTTAAGGGTCTATTAAATACAAGAGTTATCAGGAGGCATGGATGTCTTGGACCAATAGGGGCTAGGGGTGTACATACCCAGCTGTGTGTAATCTCCAATACCATGTTCATGTCCTGGTGAATCACGGAGTGCGTCTGGGGGCGGGACTAAATGCCGAACACGTGACCGGGAATACTGGATCATGTGTTTTAGCCGGCCGAACGGAAAGCCGGCAGGGTCACGTCGTGGGCGTCATTGTGTATGTAAATTATGTGGCAGGTCTCTATTACGGCTATATGTTGCTCCGCCTCTCACAAGTAAGTGGGCGGCTACACATCAGGCTGGGAGTCGCATTGAAAAAAATCGAAGTTACCAATATACAAGTAGAGGGGAGTCAGGGACTTGTGTATGGACAAAGAAGTTCATAATAAAACATCCCTAAATACCCCCTGATACACCTATCATTGTGTTCTCTATAGGGTATAGTACCCATAACACACTGAGACGGAGAATATCTAGATCATAAAGGTACAAGGTAATTGCTCAGATGTATCCACTCCAAGAATTATAATCAGCATTATGAGCCCAGTATATATATAAAAAATGATAGTAGTGGTTCAACAGGGACTCCTGAAACCAAATAATATTACAGACAGATAACCCATAAGGGTAAATGTTCAGTCCTGATAGTACAACTCATTATGAAAGCCTCCCTATAGTATCCAGTATATGAGTACAAGGTAGAAGCTAACTCAGTATATGGATTTCCATATTCTTAAGATACTCAGATGTCTAGATATAGATATTCCATAGTGTTCACCTGGAGTCTGAACATATAGAACACACAGCGAGGTACAATTATCACAAATGTGTGTATGGAATATTAGATTAATATGGTCGTAAGGTGACATCCATGTCTACAAAAAATAGTCAAAATAATAAAAAAATTACTAAAGGAAAATTAATTAGATATATTTACAGATTAAACACTACACACGCTATACTACAAAATTTACAAGTGTATCCGACATAATCAGCTATTTAATAAAAAATATAAATACAAACATATCGTATATGAGTCAAAAGAGAGAGATGGGGGCGAGAAACAAAGTATGTTTAGTTGCCACGGTAACTAAGCAGCAATGAAGGGTGTATAGGAAAAACCCTCGTTTAACCCATATGGTGCCAATGTTTTGAGTTTATAAATCCAGAAACTCTCTCTTTGGAGTAGTTTTCTGTCTAGGTCTCCTCCTCTTGGACCGAGTGTAACCTTTTCAATGCCACAGAATTTGATCCCTGATGGGGATCCCCCATGAAAGAGCTTGAGATGTTTAGAAATTGGAGTATCAATTGATACTCCAATTTCTAAACTTTGTTTCTCGCCCCCATCTCTCTCTTTTGACTCATATACGATATGTTTGTATTTATATTTTTTATTAAATAGCTGATTATGTCGGATACACTTGTAAATTTTGTAGTATAGCGTGTGTAGTGTTTAATCTGTAAATATATCTAATTAATTTTCCTTTAGTAATTTTTTTATTATTTTGACTATTTTTTGTAGACATGGATGTCACCTTACGACCATATTAATCTAATATTCCATACACACATTTGTGATAATTGTACCTCGCTCTGTGTGTTCTATATGTTCAGACTCCAGGTGAACACTATGGAATCTCTATATCTATATCTAGACATCTGAGTATCTTAAGAATATGGAAATCCATATACTGAGTTAGCTTCTACCTTGTACTCATATACTGGATACTATAGGGAGGCTTTCATAATGAGTTGTACTATCAGGACTGAACATTTACCCTTATGGGTTATCTGTCTGTAATATTATTTGGTTTCAGGAGTCCCTGTTGAACCACTACTATCATTTTTTATATATATACTGGGCTCATAATGCTGATTATAATTCTTGGAGTGGATACATCTGAGCAATTACCTTGTACCTTTATGATCTAGATATTCTCCGTCTCAGTGTGTTATGGGTACTATACCCTATAGAGAACACAATGATAGGTGTATCAGGGGGTATTTAGGGATGTTTTATTATGAACTTCTTTGTCCATACACAAGTCCCTGACTCCCCTCTACTTGTATATTGGTAACTTCGATTTTTTTCAATGCGTCTCCCAGCCTGATGTGTAGCCGCCCACTTACTTGTGAGAGGCGGAGCAACATATAGCCGTAATAGAGACCTGCCACATAATTTACATACACAATGACGCCCACGACGTGACCCTGCCGGCTTTCCGTTCGGCCGGCTAAAACACATGATCCAGTATTCCCGGTCACGTGTTCGGCATTTAGTCCCGCCCCCAGACGCACTCCGTGATTCACCAGGACATGAACATGGTATTGGAGATTACACACAGCTGGGTATGTACACCCCTAGCCCCTATTGGTCCAAGACATCCATGCCTCCTGATAACTCTTGTATTTAATAGACCCTTAACTAGTCTTCTGTTGGCCCCTGACGAAGGTGCTCCTCTATAGCACCGAAACGTACGTCGGGCATTTCCTTCTCATATCTTTCATATGAGCACTGGGCACTGGTGACTTTAGCACCATGATTTATACTTAACACTTATTTTCTTCCTTATTTATTTCCTATGCCTGTCTAGTTAGATTTACAGGGAGAGAGGCTTTGTCTAAATGCTAATACCAGTCTGCTTTTAGACTGAATACTGATCTGTTTTTCATCGTATATCTCTCCACTGTACCTTTACTAGCTCTATTGTGAGCATTCTTTATATACTAACTTTTGACAATTTGGAGTGGGGTATTCAGTTGGGGAGATAGCCGTCTGCTTTTCACACCCTTATAATGCCACAACTTAATAAAGCAGATAATTTAGGGTTTTTGATAGCATATTGGATGGCTTAATTCTATCCCCACATATACCCTCTCTATCTGGCATGGAATTTGAGTCACATTTGTATATACTTTATTTGACTTTTTTGTTTTTGGGTCGTTAGTTATTTTTCCATTAGACGCTATATTGCGATAGACATTTCCAGATGTGTGGTTAGTCCCTATGACAATAGGTAGACGAACCGCACTGTGCTATATATCTTTCCACTTGATCTGTATGCATTTGGTCAAGTGCCATAGCCTGCTTACTGGAGGTGGTTGCACACCTTTATTTTTCACCGCAATTTATATTTTCTTCAACCCTCATATCTGCACCTTTTATTCCATATGCAGGGGAAAAAATGTGCTGCTGTTGAAAAAATAAGAAATAAAATGATTCTTTGGTGTACTTGTGGAATAAGTTGCCTATCTAGGTGTTGATGGTGTTCTGCTATATACTATTCACCAAAAGATAAACAAGTGCACTTTTTTATTTGCCCCTGGTCACACCACACGTTAAATTACAGGTGTGGATGAATTTCTCTAAATTCTACAAATCAAAGTGGAGTGTAGCTGTGAGCTTGTACGGTTTACAGAGTTAACAGACTTTGATAGCACTATAGCAGGTATAGTAAGTCATGCTTTCTAGATATTGTGTATTTTCTTACTTATTTAGCTCTAATCTCAGTATACCATTTTCTAGGAGTTTATCATTATTCATTCTAGGAGTTTCATCCCTCAAGGACCAGTTATTTTGTAACATTTTGTTATTTGCAACTTTTTCCTGTAGGTTGCTACATTGTTTCAATTCTATATCTACTGCTGCATTTTGGTCTGTTAGTTACTTTTCACATAAAGCTTGTATATCCAAAATTACAATATGTCCGGTTTATATAATGCTAATAGCTGTATCTCTTTATATGTCTCTGCTATTTACAATTTAATAATACTCATTCATACATTCCCCTGACCTGTTTGTTTTTTGTTTTCACTTAGTATGTATATATTTTTCTTGTCTCACTAATTTATTTTTCTCTAATAGAAGTCTGAATAAAGGTCATATCAAAATAAATAGTTCAAATCTCTCTACCTTTTTTATTTTTTATTTCCAATAGGGGACCAAATCGCATAAAGCCATTCAAGTTTAACTACCCGCAAGGATTCTTCAGTCATCGCTGAACTCTTGATTCATTTGCGTTTTCTCCAGAATTGTCCAGGATAGGTCTTTTTCCTGTAATGCAATACATTATAAATACCTTTCCAAAGTGTTTATAGAATAAAATGTTTTTTGAAGAATGACTTAACACCTGATCATTTTGTGTTATGTGAAGATAAGTTATTACCTCTGATATAAAGATGTCACTTTTGTTGCTTTTCCATACTTTGTAATAAAGGGTCAATTACCAGAACTTTACATAAGGTTTAAAGGAACACTATAGTGTTAGGAATACACTTTAGTGCTGGAGTGTATGTTTAGGTTACCGGCCCCCTCTCTGTGCAGTAAAAAGGTATTTAAGCTTACCTTTTCTCCCTTACATGCCTACAGTCCAGTGCTTTATCATAGGAAATCATTTGGGGGCAAATGCTGCATTAAGTAGCAGCTCCTTATTTCTAGCGGGATGGTGGAGAAACAGGAGTGGCAGGGAAAGGGTTACCTGCAGGATTGGTAGATAACAGGGACTGGCAAGGAAGGTGTTCACAGGGAGTGGCAGGAAAAGTTTACCTGCGCAATTGGCAGATAACAGGGACTGGCAGGGAGGGGTTACCAGCGTGATGGCAGAGAACAGTGACTGGATACAGCCCAGCCGATGAGAGCTGTAGCTGCACGCATGGGCAGGACGCCTGTCAGATTTACACACACACACACACACACCCCACCCCCACCTGTATATGTGTTTGAGTTTGTCTCTTTATATTTATAATTTGACACTGTAAGATACCTAATGTGGTGACGAAATGTTTGTGTGTGATGTGGTTTGTAAGTTCTAGTGTCTAAATGCTGAGGATGGGCATGGTTGAGTGATGCAAATTTCATATGGATATTGGTGAACGGTCCATTTGAAATCCAGGAAGCAGGGGGAAAAGCAAAGTAGGAAATTACATGATTTCAAAGGTAAAGATTATAAAAAGTACTTCTAAAGCCAATTGATACTCTATTGAGGGGGGAAAAGCTTTTGTTCATAGGATTACTCAAGGGGGGGGGGAGTATGCATTTTTTTTAACCTATGCAGTTCCTTTAATATTAAAGTGACATTGATATTCAAAAGCTTTCAAATTTATACTTTCCTGTCGTCACATCTAAAGTCTCATAAAGACCTTTGTAGCGATTGAAATTTTGCTGTTGTGCACTTCAAAAGGAAGTGCTAAAATTAAATTTTTTTTTCTTAATATATACTGGTTTGGATGGAACCGGATTCCTTGCACCCTTGTGTGGTTGGTAGGTTCTGTTCGTATTTTGACACTAGCTCAAACAGGCCACAAAGTCTGATAAGTCTTGAAGAAATAACATTATACAGCCCTCGCTCTTGCTCTTTGTAACAGTTGTATACAGACTGTTATTCATGGCTAATCAGGCCTATAAAAAGTTTACTGTGTGTATTCAAATGATAAGATACGGCTATGTGATGTGGACAAGAATGCAATGTGATAATGGTTTTGTAACCAGCTTTTGCCACAGTGCAAACACAGAATTAGATGACAAAAATTATTTACACAAACCGTTAAATAAAGAGGAGAAATAGACTGAAAATCCTAATTGCCCACTTAGATGTTAAAGTAACTGTATCTTCTGTTTGGGGAGTAAGGGGAGCTCTGGCAAGGAAACATGGCGGCTTTCTCAAAATTAGATCATGACCTGCAGTAAACACACTAGCTCATTGGCATTAATGGATGTATTAATACGTTTCCCTCACCTCAAATTTCCAAGCCAATCCAGGAAGGTGGTGAAAGGTGTGACTGTAGGAGATCTAGGTCGCTTGCCCCTTTCACATGCCTCCTCCTGCTTGATTTAAATGCCAGTCTTTATGGAAAAAGTTTTTATCTGTTTAACACCTGCTGCAAAAATAGTTCTTAGGTCAGCGAATCTGTTGCAATTTATCTCGTTCTATAGATGGGTTATTGTCTCCATCTATGGCCTAATTGAACAGACTTTACAGTTTCTTCAAAAAGACTTGGGTTACACTAGTCATGTTTGTATTCCATTAGTAGTGTATGCTGTCACCGTTATGGATATGTATCCCAGGAGGCACAATTCACCTCTGCAATGATTATTATCTTTTGGTTGGACCCCATGGCAGAGATTTGTTTCCTGACCGTTAATGGACACATAATATATCAAAAGTATGCTATCAGGAACTTATAAAGCCAGACTTTCCGGAAACTTGCGTGTAAAATATCACACCTGGCAGGGGGGCACACTGGTTGGAGTCACAGCTCGAAAAGAGAAATTCATGTTCTGACACCTAACACATTCTTATACAATTGAATTAATCTTTCTCATGCTGAAATAAATCATACTGCCTTTACCAGGTGACCACGTATTTATTTATAAAATATTTTACCAGGATGGATACATTGAGATTTCTCTCATTTTCAAATTGTCCTGGGTCCACAAAACATTGCATTGTTACAATAGGATACAATATTACAAAAATACAATATACAAAATATATATATAAATTTATATATGTGTGTGTATGTATGTATGTGTATATATATATATATATATATATATATATATATATATATATATATACATACACACACATATATAAATTTAATACATAATTGGTAATAAATATATTCAACCATGACAGGTGCATTCTGTGCTGAGGTATATTGTCATGGATCTCTTAAAAGTTTTTAGATTGAATAAAGATTTGACCGTGTCCCTGAGTTTATTCCATAATTGCGGTGCTCTGTAGGAAAAGGAGGATTGAGTCACTTTATTTTTGTATTGCGGTATGCTAAATATCGTGCTAGTACTGCATCGGAGGCTATAGGAGGTGGGAATAGCCGGTAGAGTGAGAGCTTCTCAGAAATGCTCTTATGTACTATGCAAATCATGTATAATAGCTGAAAATTAAAAAATTAGCCTCAGATGTAAGTTCTAAAACTTACTGCTTTGCTTGGAAGGGGTTTAGGTAGGTAAGAAGGGCATAACCCTATGTAACATTATAAACTATAAAAAGATGGGACCACCCACATAGAAGTGGGGGAACCAAACTTCACTAGAATTAACACCAATTAAAAAATCACCCGTAGATAGAAGATAATTTAGTTACACTTTAATTTGAAAAATGGTTAAAAATACACACAAAGGGGGGGCGGAGCCAGCTGCCTAAATAGCCGGACGCACGCTGCAGGAGTTCCGGGGAGATCACCCTGAAAATAGCTACTACCGATCTCAAAAACTCGCAATCAGAGCCCAGATTTAAGGGCTCACCTGCTCCATAGCCGATGTGTTATGGGTAAATGCAAATATTACAAAGTTTAGAATGAAATGTTGTATTTCTTAAACTGTGTACTTTGTCTTTAAGAGATATTGCAAGGTGTTAGAAATGGAACATATTGTTTTTCATACATGTTTCTTTAACCTCTTGCTTACCTTCAGTGCATAATATGTTCACTCCATTTTGTCCCTGACGAAATTCAATGACAATAATGCATAAGCAAGCTTCAAAGCTATGCTACGACTCTTTTAGTACACAATATACTGTGGTAATCCTAAGTAGATAAAGATGTTCAGACTTTAAGATGCCATCTTGTCTCAAGTCAGGGAACTTCCCATGACATGTGCATCCTTAAGTTTTTATGGCCTTGCATTTTTGCCAAGTTAAGGGAGGTCCTAAAATGAATAAAGTAAAAGAAGTGTTACTTTTTCAGATATGAACTACGGTAACCTAAAAATGAAGACACCAAAGGTATAAATAGGTGTACTTTTAAATGTTAAGACACACAGGAGAGATATGGAGATAGACGCTGCTCCATCTTAAAATGACAGAGAGGCTGACATGATGACATGTTCAGAAGGGTATGTTAACCTATTAATGATATTTGTAAGCATTTAGTGTAATCTTGTAAACTCTGCTATAAATTATTGTAATGGATTTTATATGTCTATATTTATATTTTTATATAATAAATATCTAAAAAGACAAAACTTTATTGCTTCCAAGACAAACATTATTTTATATTGTATTCTCAATTATTTATATATGTTAACTAGAGGCTCTCTTACTAACTATGTAAAATTTGGCTAAGATATCTGTATTGTTAGCCTTGCTAAGTTCTATGCTTTAAGATGTTATAGTGGTAAATAAGGGAACCAGTCACGGTTACAGATGGGGAAGCGCTCCAAAAAAACTCTGGGCCGATCAGACCCAGGAACCTGGGATATTGGCACATTCATGCGCCGGCTTGCACCAACAAAGATGGTGCTGGTGGCGGCCTCCACCTCGGCCTCATCAGATGAGGAAAGCCTACCGGACCAGCTATCCAGCTTCTCCAAGGTACCTGCGGTCACCCAAGAGCCCACTGCGGTGGTAGACACTGCCCCCTCGACTAAGGCAGATATTAAGGCCCTACTATATGAGATACGGGCTATGTTCCAAGCAGATGTGGCAGGGTTGATGGAGGAGGTGGCCACATTTACTGACAGGCTTGTCACCATAGAGGTTGACATGGGCACGCCAAAAGTGGCACAAACAGCCACAGATGCTGCCCTCAGTTCAGTACAAAAGAGCAACGCTGATATGCTCAATCGTATGGCTAACATGGAAGACAAGATTAAGGCACGAAATGTGAGAATCGGGGGGGGGGGGGTCCCTTAGACCATAACTACTGAAGAAATGCCTCATTTAATTCGACGACTTCTCTCCACACTGCTGCCCCCGAAACAGGTCACAATGTACCATTGCTTTTGGTTGCCTAAGGCCCCTAGAGCCGCACATGAGACATCCAGGAACATTCTGGTTAAATTTGTTCGGGACTCTGACAGAGTTGCCATTCTGGCGGCGACCAGAGATTCCCCTACCACAGCATTTGAGGGTCACCAACTGTCGTTCTACAGGGATGCATCCCACCATATCATTGCCAGGAGGCAATCTCTCCGCCAACTTACCCAGCACCTACGGGAAGGCAATGTGGCATACAAATGGGGCAAACACAAGCTTATTGTTGAAAAGGGTGGCAAGACCCACTCACCTTTCCGAGGTTCACCGCCTACTGCGGGAATTGGGACTACCTGAGGGTACCTTCACCATACCGCAACAGCCCTCATGGTCGGTCGACCAGATAATCTTAGTATTTATAACAGATACATAATGTCTCAATATTCATCTAAAGGAGCATATATGCTTGTACTGTGTCTGTAGAAATATAACTGTATAACTGGAAACTTAATTTTAAATTGGAAAGAGATACATGTAACAAGTTAAAAAGGGAGCTAGGGAAGCGGCAGAGCAGAATGGTGGCTTAAGTGCTGAGCTCCTCCGACCCTGAACTGCCGATCGTGTGACTGCATCCATAGAGACACAAATGGGGAAGAACTCCAAGTCGGTGGGCACCCCCAAACCATCGGATTCCCGCCAGACCACGCTTCAACCCTCCATGCGGCAGTACTTAGCCGCGCAGGCAAACCCGCCTCCCAGGTGTCATCTGAGGCCTATCAACACTCATTGGTCTCAAAGCCGAGCTCTAACTCACCGGGCCGTGAAGAGCCACCAGCGACACCACCAGCAGACTGGCTGGCCCTGCTAAAGGCACTCCCCACCTGGTCAGACCTCAATCAGGCGACCTCAGTACTCCACGTGTCCATCAGAGCAGATCTTCAGATGATGCGGTCAGACCTGTAAGGAATGGCGGACCGCATGGCCCAAGTGGAGGAGGATCACGATGGCCTCCTGGCTGCCCAAAGTGCAACTACCTATACACTAGAACGCCAAACAGCACAGCTACAAGCTATGGCACATCATATAGAGGACCTAGACAATAGGGGCCGCAGGCAAAACCTGAGAAACCACCGATCAACTCAAAGGCCTACTTACTACAATCTTTAATGACCTCCTGAACCGCCCCATGGACACTCCTTTCGAATTTGTCCAGGCTCACTGGGCCCTGAGACCCAGAGGCCCACCTGATTCCCTTCCATGGGAGGTGATATGCTGTCTGGCCCTATACTCTCTCAAGGAGGACATTTTACATGCGGCACACAACAAGGGTTACCTTAACCATGAGGGTCAACACATTCAACTATTCCCAGACCTATGCCCAGCCGCAGAGCACTGAAACCCCTTACCCGCGCACTTTTTGCACAGAAAGTGCGATATCGGTGGACTTTCCCGACAGGCCTGGTGGCCATAACTCCAGGGGTCCCAGACAGTTCCGCACCCAACAAGACCTGCAGGAGCTCTTGAATTAGCTGGATCCACTAGACTTGTACAACGGTCCTACACCACCACTGATGGAACTGACCCAAGTGCAGAGACAGAACTGGATCAGAATGGAGAACACGAGGCCTGCAGGGGCCACACACTAAGGGACACCCCACAAACACCTCCACAGTAATGGCGATCTAGGAACACGTAACTGTCACCCGGGGCACACTGGGACTTTGAACCACACACATAGCACTGATCATATGAGCAGGTCCCCTACACGTTAAAGGCCTGTAAGGTTAGGGTATGCAGACGAGGGGGTGGGGGGACTGGAGGCCACACAGACACAGCCCAAAACCATCAACTCCACACCTTGGGACTCAGTACAGGGAAGACACCTCCCACTATGCAATGGTGGACGAATGTTCACCTTGAGGGGCGGGGGGTTACTCCCACCGTCTCCACACGGTATGGGGCCAGGGGGGCCTGCCACTTGACCCCATGCGGCAGGGATTTGGGGATGGGTTGCAGGGAGCTGTCTTGGCGGAGTTGGTGCCGCTGGGGGGTGTGAATGCCTCGGCGAGTGGAATACAGCAATGGATAATGTGTCTGTTGAGGACCTGTGAGTCTTGCTTTATGGAGTCTCTATCTCTAACTATATAATATTTAATCCCATGCTCAGCTAGGGTAAACACACTTGGGTTAACAGATGAGACATAATTTAAGGCAGATCTCTCTTTTGGAGCAGGTAGACACCTACCTAGAGTTAACAAACATAACCAGGCCCAAGAGGACATATATGGGAGCAACTCCCTATGCCAATCTCATTCTGCCCTTATTGGCACTAAATGAGAGATTCATGATGCAGGCCAAATAGGTCCCATCACAGTGCAATGTCTTTTGTATGGAGTCTCACTCATGTTTATATTGCTTAACTATTTGTTCTTTTGAATTGAAGCAACTCAGCTTAGCGTCCCCTCACTTCTAACGTTTAAGAAACAGCATGTCAATTTCTACTGCTAGGTTATTCTCCAAATATCTATTTAAAAAAAAAAAAAAAAGGAAGCTTTTGAACCTTTATGAAATCACACTCTATGGCAATCCAACTTCGGGGGGGGCATCGAGTAGTCCCCCTACGTGAGAGTTTTTTATTCCACCCTCTCGCAGGGAGTGGCCTCACGACCCACCAGCCACTGTGCTTTGAACCAGGGTCTTGGACCACCCTTTCACGGTCAGGAGCGACCAGGCTATGCTCCCAATTGACTGGGGTATATTGATTGCAGTGGGCGGACTTGACTGAGCAGACTGGTGCGGCCCTGCCTGCACCTTGGTCCTAAGTTGTACATTTACGCTGTTTACTTTTGTTATTGTTATTGTCTTTGTTGCTGTTGGTTGCTGACTTGGGTAACGGCGTCCACAGGAGCGGAGGGCAACGAGCCAAACTACCGTCCTCTGAAGGGGATCTCATACCCATACGCCCCTCACCCTCTCTGGACACAGTCCCACTGGTTCCCCCTCCTGCTTCCCTCTCCCTTTTCCCCTGCTCTGCCGCCCCCTCCTCACCACCAACGTCAGATACGCAGAACTAACATGCTACCAAACAACATGTACAAACAAGCGGAGATCAACTTTCTCTCCATTAACACCAGAGGCCTCAACCAACCAGAAAAAAAGAATGCTCACATGCACTGTACCACTTTCAGCCAGAAATCCCACATAGTTTTCATTCAAGAAAACATTTCTGGGAGGGCCAGATACCTAGACTGATCGATAGGCACTACGCACAATGCTTCCTTAGCAATAATCAAGATGGCAAGTCCAAAGGTACAGCCATCCTGATCCACAAGTCACTACAATTTGCCCCTACATACGTGATGCGAGACGACAAAGGACGTTATGTTTGTGTTAAGGGAAAGATCGCAGACCGTACATACACTCTTGCTA